AATAAGCCACTAAAAATTGATCGTCAGGCCAATCCAATGGCCTATCTAAGTACCCTCTGCTAGACACTGCTAATCAAATGTGGCTGGCTGGAACCTCATCGAACAAATGGAGGTTTATAATGGTTTAGTTCGCTGGGAAAATCATAGAAACGGAGGGTAGATTGAACAACGGCTGAGATTTAGATAATTACTAATCATCATATATATATATATATATATTTATATAGTTATATAGTTATATTAATATATATTAATCTATTAATATAACTATATATATTTATACAGTATATATGTATATATATATATATATATATAGCTTGTATTGATGGGCAAAGTCGCATCTCGGCTATGTCTTCAGAAGTGCTTGCTCCCGTGAGAAATGCCAGGAACAAGAACGAGCTTTTCAGGAAAACGTGGATTCCTGATTTCTTTTCCAGGATGCCGCAGGATGCCAATTTTGTGTTTCCAATAATTAATGACCCCATAAGACCCATATAACACCTATATATGTGTTATATATTATATATTTTGGATAGGTAGCAGCACATCCTCCAATTTTCTGTGTACCCGATTTTTTCAGCCAACTCATTCACCTTTTTCATGTTCATTGGATCTTAATTTGGTGCCGATGCTGACGACACTCGGATCTGGAGGTCATGGGACGCGAGATTCCTTTGATCTATCTGATCGTAGGGCACGGGGTCCTGGGATCTGGGTGGGATCTGCAGGTGCCACACGAAACCAGCCGGAAACCATGGTTTTTCGTGATGTTTTCGTCGATGTTTTGTGATTATTTTCCGTTGGAACCTGGATGAACCTGGTGTGGTGAGCTTCTGGGCTGCTAGCTCTGACAAATGAAAATTGGATTGGATGCAATTCTGAAAATGGAGAATACATTGAATACATCGCAAAAAAAGGCCCTATCTTGCCTTGGTTGGTGATGATTTTTTGGGGACACAAATTCTGCAGCTGAAAACAAACTGGAAAAGGCTCCTTTGACCTCCTTGTACATCCATCTGTCTACAGATCTGAGAGTCTCAATGCTGTCCATGTGCTGATCGATCAAGGACGACCAGATGCTTTGATCTTCCATGGCTATACTTTTTGTCGTCGAATTTATCAACGACCCTTGCTTTGCTGCATACCCGTTCACCTAAAGCCCTGGAAGAGTTGTGATTCCATGGACTGTCGGTGCCGCATCTCTTGATATTACGAAATCGGAGAAAATAACATGATTAACATGGCACACCTGAGACCCTGGTTGTTTCCCTGAAATAGGCAGAAACGGGCGACAAAATCAAGGTCCTGGTTGATTCCACAGTTTGATCCATGACTTCTGGGCTTCCCGGCTGCTGAGGGGTGTGCTGGCACTCTTGTGGCTCAGTGGGAATACCAACGCGATCCGCATGATTGCCTTTGCCGTGTCAGCCTAAGTCACCTGCTTTTCCATTTTTTTTATGCTGAAGTTCAATCGCTGGGCATGACATTTTCCTTGGCGAAGTGGATACATGCCATGGTGTCGGTTTCTAAGATGACTTTTCTCGACTCTGGAGAGATCCCTCACTTTAGAACATCACTTAGAACTCGGATGGTGAATCAGCAGGGTCAGATGATGTTTTTTTCAAGAAACAATATATTTCAACATTTTTTTTCAACATGTTTCCATGTTTCAACATTTTTTTCAACAAATCTCTGACCGTGGCTCCAAAAGACATCACCCAGTTGATCGCCTATGTGATGTACACGCAGTACACCAGGGCGCGCTGGGCTCAGTGGCCCTGCTATGGCGATGAAGATGATGCATGGTACATGGACATGGAGACATGGGGCCAAAAGCTTGGTTTCAGCAACACATTAATTAAGAATATGTTAAGATATGTTAAGATATATTCAGATATATTAGGATATATAAAGATATATTAAGATATATCAAGACATATCAAGATATATCAAGATATATCTTCCACCTGCTGAGACATGATATTTTAAGATATATCAAGATATATTAAGATATATTAAGATATATTAGGTTAAATAAAGGTATAAACATATATTTGAACATATCAATATATATTAGGACAAATTAAGATATATTAGGATATGTAAAAATATATTAGGCTATATTAAGATATATTAAGATATATCAAGATATATTAGGATATATTAAGATATATTAAGATAAATAAAGATATATAAAAATATATTTGGACATATCAATATATATTAGGATATATGAAGATAAATAAAGGTATAAACATATATTTGAACATATCCATATATATTAGGATGTATTAAGATATATTAGGATATATAAAGATATATTAGGATATATTAAGATATATTATGATATATCAAGATATATTAAGATATACTAAGATATATTAAGATAAATAAAGATATATAAAAAATATATTTGGACATATCAAGATATATTAGGATATATTAGGATATATTAAGATATATTAAGATATTTCAAGATATATTAGGATATATTAAGATATATTAAGATATATCAAGATATATTAAGATATATGAAGATATATTAAGATATATTAAGATATATTATGATATATCAAGATATATTAAGATATACTAAGATATATTAAGATAAAAAAAAGATATATAAAAATATATTTGGACATATCAATATATATTAGGACAAATTAAGATATATTAGGATATGTAAAAATATATTAGGCTATATTAAGATATATTAAGATATATCAAGATATATTAGGATATATTAGGATATATTAAGATATATATTAAGATATTTCAAGATATATTAGGATATATTAAGATATATTAAGATATATCAAGATATATTAAGATATATGTATATATATATATATTAAGATATATTAAGATATATTAAGATAAATAAAGATATATAAAGCTATATTTGGACATATCAAGAGATATCAGGATATATTAACATATATTAATATATTTCAAGATATATTAGCATATATTAAGTCATTTTAAGATATATCACGATATATTAAGATATATAAAGATATGTCAGGATATATTAAGATATGTAAAAATATATTAGGACATATCAAGATATATGAAGATATATGAATATATATCAAGATATATTAAGACATGTCAATTGTCATTGGAAATGGATTTAAAACTCAGCTAGAACGGGACTCCATTGGCCCGCATCTTTAACTCTCAAGCTTCTTCAATCGGATTGTGACGCCATATGCAAGTTCGGCTGGCTTTTGTTTTGGGGTGGTTTGCATCCTACCTGACACGTCGACCATCCACTATCCCTGAAAGCTTGAGCCTGGAGACCCATCTCTTGAGGGAGGAGATTCAGGCTGCCCGAGAGGCAGTGGATTCCTTGGGAGAAGCCAGGAGGAGCTGTGAGTGGGAAGTGTGGTCTCAGCGGTGGTTGTTGCGAATTGGGGGCTTGGTAGATTTGATTCTGATTTTTTGGATCGTTTGGGCCCGTTTCCCCTTGAAGCAATCTGATTATCCCAAATTGAGACCAGTGGTGGCTGACACAGTTGAATCATCACTGACGAGGGATTGCCAGCTCTTGAGACCTTGCCTCCCCGCCAGCGGGGTGGCAGTCGAGGGAAAGGATTTTTCGGAAAGAATCGCCCGACTCGACCTTCTGATCTTAAGGCATTGAGGTCGGCGTGATGGCCGATGTCACCTTAGACATCGGGGAAGTTCAGATTTTAGTAAACTATCCGGCTGACCCTCAATTTGTTTGGCATCACCGAGTTCTTCTCCATCGCATAGAAGGAGCCACGTGGTTGTGTTTGACACCAGATCATGACATCGTCAGGCACGATCTTGGCAATATCCCCCACCGCATCCTCAGTCGCCGAGCTCCTTTCCCAGATGACATCGCGGCAGACGTCTATGCCCATGATGTGATTGGTCGACCTCAACTCTTGGCCTTCAAACGTCAGGCAAAGCTTCAGGCGGTGATCTTGGGTGAGGGTGATCCTGAGGAGTCAGAGGCAGCGGAATGGTTGGTAGCCGATAGCTCTCATGCGGAATTTGGAACCTCCATTGATGCAGACCTTTTGAACAATGGGGCTACTGGTTTGGCTTTTTCTGTGAAAGGTGTTGTCCTGATTCAAGGTGAGGAAGTGTTTGTGGAAAGAGTGGCCAGTAGGGACGTTGAGGACTGGCGGAAGAAGCGGGGTCTGGAGGCAGCAGATTTGCGGCTTCTGGGAAACCATAAAGACGCTTCGGGAAAGCGACGGCTTGAATTGGCCACTGCTGTCAGCCTCATGAAGGGAGTGTCCAAAGAAGACGACAAGAGTGATTTCCCCATCTCTGGAGTTCATGCAGCCAAGGAATATCATGAAAGTGTTGCCTTGGGTCCTGGGAATTTTCTCAGTTACCATGCGGAGTGGCTTCGTTTGTCAGGAGTTGGGAGGAGATCATCAGCCCACCACATTCACAGGAGTTTGTGTGAATGCCTTCGCCTGTTACATTCCTATGACCAGATTGATGCATCCACAACTGCTGTCGGTGAATTTTTGAGCCGTTGGGCAGTGCAGACTGAGCTAGCTGTTGAGAGGTCACCCACACAGCCAGACTATACTGGTCTTGACATCATTTCTGGAGCAGCCATTCAGGGAGATGGTCGGGCCAGCACCTCCAAGTTTGGTGCATGGGTATCCACTCGCTTGAAAAAGCGAGCTCAGATCTGGAAGCAGGAAAGGTTGTATGCGCAGGAACGTGGACATCTCCGTGGTCGTGGAAAAGGTACTGGCCGTGGTGGAGACGATGGATCCAGTGATGATGGAGGAGGGCAATCCAGAAAGAAGAAGAAAAAGAAAGACAAAGGCGGCAAGGGGGGCACCAACCCCCCTGCCGCGTCATGAGCACAGAGCCAGGAACAGGGGCAGCGCCGCCCGGAACTTTTCCGGCTGCTTCTGGAATGGCGGATGATGCATGGAAAGAATTTAGCTGTCGGAAAGCCTCGGCCCACAGGCGACACGGTGACCCTTTTCCTCTACCGCGCCTAGGTCAGCCGAGGCAGACAGACCCGCTGAGACGGCGACTGGATGGTGCTTTTGGTGCTGTCAACAGTTTAGCTTCAGCTGTTTTTGAGAAGACCGATAACCCTGATCTTCCTCTGACACGTGTACAGTTGTGGATGATGAATGATCTTGGCAGGAGAGTATCCAACTACGGTGAGAAGCTTGACAACATGACGCCAGACGATGCTCTTCGCGACCTTGGGTGTGGGGCCAACCTGTATTCTCAGGAGGCCAATCATGTTGCTGACTTGGACATTGATCAAATCAAGATCCTTAGTCGACAGCTGGACCCGAAGCCTGCCTCAGCACTAGCGCCCCCTGAGGTCAAGGCTGTCATAGACAACTTTGCGGACAAAGTGGAAAGATCCACAAGCGAGATTGAAGCCATGAGGGCATCTGGATCGCTAGTGGTTCCACATGCGTCCTACCTTAGGAAATTATTTTGAGGTGGGGGTTGGTTCCAAAATATTTTTTTTAAAATAATTTCCATTTTTAACATAAATTTTATGTTAAAATCACCCGACAAGAGCCATAGCAAAATAATTTTTGCACCCGTACCTTGATGATGGTGCAAAATAATTTTCCACCTACAGAGGTTGAAGCACCTTGAAATAATTTTAAACAAACAACTTGAGGCACCTCAAAATAATTTCTCAGTTGAACTGGGGAAATTATTTCATATAGTTCCAACTGTATAAAATAATTACCAGACACCCATGATGAAAATTATTTCATGGGGTGGGGGTACTTGCAAACCACCTGCAAAATAATTTCAGCATATTACATCAAATTTCAACTACATATTTCAACATGTTCAGTCAGGATATTCTTTGAATCAATCTGAAGCCATTTCCAACTTCATTCAAGCCACATCCCGTCAATCCCAACACATCCCAGGGAAGTTGAGTTTTGCAAGGTTAGTTTTTTTTGGATTTCTGGGGTGGTCTAGTAGTTAACCACCCCCAAAATAATTTTTGGGGAGAGAGGAATCGATTCAGGTTTCTTTGCCCAAAAGCCGATGCTAAGTCGATGTTCTAAAAAATAATTAGTTCAGCCAGTAATTCATGGTAAATCTCAGGGTTTGTCTGTTCGAGGCAATTTGGATTTTGAACTACTCAATGGGAAGTTAATTTTGCCAGTTTAGGCTATTATTATTTCTGGGGTGGTTTAGTAGTTAACCACCCCCAAAATAATTTATGGGGTAGGAAGGGGTCGATTCAGATTTCTTTGTCCAAAAATCGATGGTCTAAATCATGAAATTCCGACAATGCTTGTCGGGTGCATTCGGGAGGATAGGTAGGGTGACCCCCCAAAATAATTTTGTGGGGATTTTTGCTATTTATTTTGAGGTGGCTCTACTTGTTTTTTCAATCATCCAAAACCATCTTAAACCACCTTGAAATAGTTTCCAAAATTATTTTGAACTAAGGGAAGTGGTTTTGAGTAATAGTAGAACCCTACAAAATAATTTATTTGCAAATTTTCAGAAATTATTTTGAGGAGGTGGGTAGTGATAAAGGATATTATTTTGGGATGGTTAGAGTGTTTTGGAAAAAAATATTTTGTAGTGGGTTATGTACTGAAGCACCTCAGAATAATTCTGAAAAATTATTTTGGGGGGTCACCCTAGTGATTTTACCCAGGGTAGCCCGCATGGTTCCACATTGGGACCCCAAGCTTAAGAAGAGCCTGGAGGAGAGGATGAAGCTGTATCAGAGACTTTTCAGATGCGGCTTGCTGACTTTCAGACGCCGGCAGAAGGCCAAAGTTGGGATGTTTGCAGTGGTCAAAAAGGGCAACAAGCCTGGGAATTCCCAACGGCTGATTGTTGATTGCAGACAAGCCAATATGCTTCAACGGCGTCCCCCAACCACAAGATTGTCTACCCCAGCCAGCTTGTCAGATTTGGATTTTTCAATTGATAGCTTGCATGAGAACGGCTATGACATCGAAAGTTTAGATCAGTTTGTTTCCGGTATTGAGACAGGAGATGTTGGAGACTGTTTTTACAATTTCGTTATTGAGCATGCTTGTTCATGGTTCTCTACAGGAGATATTGTGGATCGGGGCTATTTTGCGTGAGCATGGCATGGAAGTGACCAGTATTTTTGATGATTTGGTGGGTGATTTTACGGACTTATTGGAAGGCGAAGAGGTCTATGTATGTTTTCGTGGTGTTCCTATGGGTTGGATTTGGGCGCTTTGGTTATCCAATGAAATTGTCTGTCATCAATGTCTATTGGCTACGGGGGGAACTGAAAATTCATTGATTCGAGATAGAAGAACCCCTCCTCTGGTTTCCCCTGACAAGATCCCTATTGGAGTCTATGTGGACAATGTTCATACCTTCAGTATTGATGGACAACAATCAGGTGACGAGATGGACAAGATTGCCAAGCTTTCAATCCCTGGGTATTCCTTTTGAAGTGGATAATGTTTGCAACAACAAAACAGTCGACACACTGGGCCTCACGTTTTTCTTTGAGGATGGGCTGCGGGTGCGATCCAAGAAGGACAGGGCATGGCGACTCTGGCTGGCCACCAAGGGAATTTTGTCACGACGTAGGGTTAGTGGCGAGGTGCTTCGTGTCTGGTTGGGTCATGTCAATTATCACTTCTTACTTTGCAGACCACTTTTATCCACACTCTCATCATGTTACAGTTTCTGTCATTCTCATCTGGGTCATCGGTTTCCTCTGTGGGGCTAGAAGTCGCAAACCAAGCTCTGTCAGGGTTGGGTTAGATGGCAAACACCTGCCGGCCCACCTCCGACTTAGGGCAATGAAGGTCAGTCAAAACACTCTGACACGATATCTTCGGCAGATTGAGGAGTTTGAAGAATGGCTGAGGAGCAAGAGACAGAGGTGGAGTTTTCCCACTTTAGATCGCAAAGTCACTCAATATATCACTCACCTGTATGACTCTGATGCGGAAATGTCTAAAGCATCCTACCTTATTTACGGATTGCAGTTACTGAAATGCGAAGGCTCCAAAGACTCGTTTTTGGTAGGTTCCAAAGAGGCTCTGAGTGGGTGGAGAAAACAAGATCCTGGTCAGATGCGCGTGCCTGTTCCTGAAGAATTCATTTTTGATCTCATGACGCTGGCTCTTGAAGATGACAGAATCGATTTGGCTATGGCTATGTTGATTCAATTCGATGGCTATTTGAGACCATCCGAGTGCCTTTCCTTGACCACCGATCATGTATGTCGGCCACAGGGCCGTCGCTATTTGCACTGGGCTTTGATCATTGCTCCATCCACTTTGCAGCAGACTACCAAGACGGGTCAGTCAGATGACTCAATCCTTTTAGGGGATCGACCTCACAATGGCTGGATTAAAGAATGTATGAGACTTTTCATGAAGACTGTGAAATATGAGCTGTTTCCTGGCCTGACCTTGTCGGGATATGAAACTTGGTGTCGTCAAGCCTGCTTGCGATTGTCCTACAAGTGTTCATGTGTCATGCCTCATATCATTCGACATGCCGCTGCCAGCAATGACATGTATCATAGCAGGCGTTCTTTGGTAGAGATTCAGAAACGTGGCCGATGGGCTGCCAAACGAAGTGTCTCTAGATACGAGAAACATGCGTTGCTTTTGGCGCAATGGCGTCAAGTGAGCCCCCAGAGAAAATCCCTGGTGGAAGCTCAGTCTCAAAGCATCAAGAGTACCATTTTAACTGCTTTGCGAACCAACGGTTAACCAGAGCAAGAATGGGAATGGGTGATATTTGACTGATCGAATTTGCATTTTGATTTCCAGTCGACTGGCATTTTCCAATGATTCCAATGGTGCTTCAGTTTGAATCAAGCATCAATGTGGCACAGCAGCTTTGGCAAACGAAACATGATTGCATGGTCACAAAAATCTGGGCCATGTCTGGAGGGTGAGTGTGCTGTGATTTGTTGTCATTGGAAATGGATTTAAAACTCAGCTAGAACGGGACTCCATTGGCCCGCATCTTTAACTCTCAAGCTTCTTCAATCGCCCAGAGCCAGCCAAGCCTCGAAGGGTGATATTTGACTGATCGAATTTGCATTTTGATTTCCAGTCGACTGGCATTTTCCAATGATTCCAATGGTGCTTCAGTTTGAATCAAGCATCGATGCGGCACAGCAGCTTTGGCAAACGAAACATGATTGCATGGTCATATATGTTAAGATATACTAAGATATTTTAAGATATATCAAGATATATCAAGATATATTAAGGTATATTAAGATATATAAAGATATATTAGGATATATTAAGATATATTATAGGGGGTCACAGATTGATGACCCCGGCAAAAGTTGATCGTATGCCATCAATACGGAAAAAAAACCTTAAAAATAAACATTTTGTTGTAACACTAAGATGGCACACAGGGGTCTGTGACACGTATTTCTCGTGTCGGTAAAACCATAAATCACTCTTAGATGGCATGTATAGGGTGGCATGTTGTGCCATCTTTGTCGAGAATGAGACCCAGCAAGTTTTTACTTCCCCGGCATGTTGGAAAAGACCAGTTGCTAAACACTAAGCCGTCCAAGTAAACACGTTCCCGCTAAAACAGGGGGTGCACCGCCCCAAAAACTGGTGCAAACATCAAAATCTCAGGCCGCCAAAAATAAAGGTCAATCGACGGTCAATCATTCTTGGTGTTGCAAAATGCTGCCAAACAATTAACGAATCACACCACCCAACCGTTTCACCCCTTGCTGCTTCCTATGTGAAACAGTCGGTTTTGAGGTTCTGCTGTTCATTTTTTGCAATAGAAAGGGAGGAAGAAAACCCAACCACCCAAATGTGGTCCATGTAATAGTGCCTCCGATGTAAAAAAGTAGTTTTTGCAGCAGTTTTCATCTTTCTCCGACAGGATGTGCCTGGATTTGCCATCTTAGTGTTCCCTGGCAACCCCCCACAATCCCCCAAAAGTATCCAAAAGTTGTTTTTGATTATTTTTGCATGGTTTTGCAAAATGTTGCAAAAAGATCGGAAAATCAGGCGGCCCAAAAGTGCTCAATCTCTTACTGCGTCCTATGTGAAAAAGTTGGTTTTGAGGCGCTACGTTTCATTTTTTCGGAATCGACGTGCCTGGGTGTGCCAACTTAGTGTCCGTGACAGCCCCACACAGGTGGCGTTGAAAAAATATCTGACCAGTGTTGTGAGGTTCTACTGGCTTGAAATGGAAAGTGCCAAAAAATCGGACCACCCACACGTGGTCCATGAAATAGTGCTTCCTATGATTCGTATGTGAAAAAGGTAGTTTGCCGCAGTCTTCATCTTTTTCGATCAGGATGCGCCTGGATGTGCCATCTTAGTGCTCTCTGTCAACACCCCAAAACTGGTGTGTCAAATTGTTGCAACAATTATATACATTATATAAAGAATCAGGGGTTGCAAAAAGGTGTTTAACCCATTACTTTGTCCACTGTGAAACAGGTGCTTTTTGAACCGCTACTTTTTTTGTTTTTTGAATTTGATGTGCCATCTTACTCCCCCAAAACCGGTGCACAGATGGGAAAAAGAAGCTGCTGCTGCCCAATGTGTTTTTTCAACACTAAGATGGCATGAGTTAGATTTTTTTGAAATGATCGTAGCGATTCTGCTATTCCTATTGGGGCAGACACACTAAGATGGCACACTAGGGGCAGCACCCCACCCATTCAAATGCCACCAAATATTTTTTTTGACATTCGCTCGGAATGCCATCTTATCTTGCGCAGTGAAGATGCCATCTATTCGTGATCCGGTATAGGATATATTAAGATATATTCAGGTATATTAAGATATATAAAGATATATCAATATATATTAAGATATATAAAGCTATATTAGGATATATTAAGATATACTAAGATATATTATTTTACATATATATATATATACATATTAAGATATATTAAGATATATCAAGATATATTGAGATATATTAAGATATATTAAGATATATTAAGATAATTAAGATCTATTAGGACATATCAAGATATATTAAGATATTATAAACACCTGATTCAATGTTATTTTTGTTTGCAGAGAATAGGGGACACCCATTGGATCCCGGCATGATTTCAGCCGAGCTCGGGGTTGCAGCTGGCTGCACTTATGGTTTCTATTAAATTCGTCCATTTCCAAAGTAAAGTATATGAACTACAACCAAAATTTAGCTTAATGGAGAGTAGTATTCGAGTTTTTTTTGGGGGGGAAATTGAGCTGAGGCTTGGAAAACGATAATACACTCTTCAAAAAGCGATAACATTTGCTTATATACCAAGACCTGAAAAACGATAATACACCTTTCAAAAATTGATGACTTGGAACTATATACCAAATATTGACCGTGGCCCATATCTTTTGATGCAAAAAGATAGTTCTCCACATTTTCCACAGGGGATATACTTTTGACTCAACATTGGTAAAGTAAAGATCTCCATATATCTCTGGATATAGTATCAATAATAGGTATAATGATGTATAATGGATAATAGGTAAATCATCCAGATCTCCACAGGAAGTCTTCCCACATTTTCGTTTTTTTCAGCAATCTCTTCATCGGATTCGCCTGGTCTCCCGAACTCCTGGCCTAGGCAGAGAGGCGGAAGCGTTGGATCTCAGCGAACTCGACACCGCGTGAAACATGTTTTTTTTTTTTTTAAACGATGTTTCAAGCATCAAATCTAGGGGGATATAAGATGATATAAGTGGATATATCATGATATATACATATTACATACATATAACATATAACTGATAAATACTTGTATAGATAAATGATATAAATGATGCTTGGTCGATGAGTGTGGATGATACATCCTGAGCCCGAGGCCGGGCCCGGGACTGAAGACAACAGCAGCGGAGGACATGTCACTTGTCGCAGTTTTCTTCAGACAATGAGGCAATAGAATTGGTTGTGAGTTATAGGGAATTATGACTCATATGGAATTATGATGAATTATGATGGGAAGTGGGTCATTCCGGAATTTGAACTAATCTATATAGAATGGGAAACCTATCAACCAACTATAACCAACTAGTAACCAACTAGTAACTAACTAGTAACTAGTATTAATGAGATGGGATAGTGGTATTTTTAATGGCTTACATTCGGATTGATCCGATTGCCTGTGAACATCCGCAATTTCCCAGCTTAAACTGGTGTGAACAGAGGGGAAAATTATAGGGTCTTTGATCCAGTTCGCTGTGAAATTTATACAGTTGGAACATCTTCGAAAACAATGGCAGTGACTATGAGCTTTCCGAAATAGTACAATGTAGCTCATCTTTGGGCGTTTGGAAGCACCCGAGTTTCGGTGTCGCTCCATGGCGGGGGGGATCGAGTTTCTGTCTGGTTGTGAGGTCATCGTGTCCTTAACCCAGACATGGGCCCAAAATTTGGCGTATCGAAAAACATCGACTGCGTGGCTCAGAAAATTCAATCCCCTAAAGTGGCCAAACCTGTCGCATGTCAAGAGCCTGCCCTTCATTTTTGCCTTTCTACTCCAATGACGGATTCTGCAGATTTGGGACTCCCTGCAATGCCCTTCACATCTAGAAACAGATGATGGGTCAAGACATATCAAGTGACCCATAGTGCTTACCATGTTAATATGATTTGATGGGATGAAGACCTCTTCCAACATTTATGTATCATATTATCATATTTACCATACAGTCCATATGAAATCCCCTTCAATCACCATATCATCATTGAAGAGTCCATGGCTGCCATGGCCATGGCTCCGTGCCATGTGCCGTCCGAGGTCATCAACCGCGGCCGATAAATTCCAGGGCGGCCAAAATTGCTGCGCGATGGGTCAATTTCATCACGACCATAGCTGGTCAGGACCTGGAATCATGGTGAATGACTAGGGGAATCATCCCCATAGCCCCATAGCTGGCCGCAAGTTTTAGCTTTGTGGCATTAAAAATGAATTCAACCCAGATCCTTCGATGGTGGTTTTCTGCCCTCCGGTAATGACAAGAACAGATGTGGCGAACTGGAAAATGATCATACAACTGGATGATTTTCCTATTAAAACTGCTGATGATCCCACGAATCGGTCGTGGTTAATAAGTATATGTTATTTCATCCATTTATAGATGGGATAAGCCACGAATCGCGGACTTACTGACCAGGGTTATTAACCACTTACTTTATGTGTGATGATTCTCCAAGTGGTGACATGGGGTACCTCAACAGTTAGGGGAAAAGCCTCACATGTAGAACTTTTCAGAACCTCATTTTCCCAAACAAGCAGCCATGGCTGGGGGTTTACAATGGTATGCCCCATTTTCAGACCATTACCCATGTGAATTTTGAATAATTTTGATTCATGCAAATAATTCTACAGTATGGGATGAGCATTTTTCGAGACCCCGAAAGCATTTTTCGGATGATTTCCATTTCTCATGGGCTAAAGCGGGGGCTGAAGCCGGCAGAATGTTGTCCAGCAACCATGAGCTGCCAATCCAAAAAGTGATGGTGCGTATAATTGTATATATATATATTGTGTATAGTTATTGTGACAATTATCATGATTATATAGACAATTACAGAAACATCATAATTTATCATAATTATCCGAACGAATTGTCATAATTGCAATTGTTGCAATTATGTTATGTGTATATATATATAATATCAGGACTATCATATCTCATTAAATCATGTTAAATCGTTTTAGGCCAGTAGCTCAAGCTATATACATCTGGCAGCCTTTCAAGCATTCCATCAACGGCTATGGCGTGCCACGACTGCAAATTTTCACATTTCCAGACAGCCAGGCACTTGATTTGGATTCAACATGCAGGTCATCCCGTAACAACTAGACCATGTTTTGCAAAATTCTGGGTAAATTATAACGGCCTCACTACGACCTCAGTAAGGGGAAAGCCATCATAAAATGGACCGAAAAATTCAGGTACTGGTCCGGCTCTGCGTGGCGAGTTGGGTATTGGCTGGCACGAGTCAGGAAGGTGTAACAGCCAGCTCTTGAGTAAGCTAACCCAGTAAAATCGATGTTCCGGCAACTGGTTTTACTTGCCATGTTCCAAATAGTATAAGAATGTACAAGCTATTCAGATCTATTCAGCTACTACCAGCTGGACTTTCAATGGCTTGTCCCGCTCTTGTGGACTCAGAAAGAGATGTCCAACCCCCTAGCCGTGACCAGCTCCTGCAAGTCGATCTTCCCCGGGTACGCAGCCGCACAATTTCAGACACGTGTGGTTCTTCGGGCTCTAGCTGTGGCTGACATTCAAAGAAACACATTGAATCATATTGAGTCTCATTGACAGACAAAAGATTTATACATAAATATATATATATATAATTATATATATACAATAAATATCTATCTCAACAATGAGAAGAACAATGTCTCAAGTTTCCAAAGATTCCAATCACTCTACTGCTGCATCTACATCTGCGAAAAGCCCCAGGTGCGCTGCGTAGTGCGTATGGCCCTGGTTTCCATAGGTTTCTTAAGTCATCGGGAATCCCGAGCCGTGGTTATCCATGATCCCTATGACTTCCGGGATTCCGAAGAATGTGAGTAGTTTCTGTTAAGGACTGATTTGAGACCGGTTTAGTCAAATCAACTCAAGAACTTGTTTCATTGACTGACATCCAATATCAAACCATCGCTTTTTTTGGGATATATTGATGGGATGTGGATTCTTTCCATCACCAGCTTCGAGTTGTCCAAATTGCTGCAATGCCACGTACGCCAAAGTCACTGTTGATAGTTCATCTATAGAGGTTCCACATAGTTAGGAACTACATGGAACTACATGGAACTATCAATTCGAATTCTTCAATTGAGCCATTCCAAATACCCGAGTTGATTGGGTTGATTGGTGATGAAATGGGAAGTTTTACTGCCAGGGCTACTGGGGAAATTTCATGGACTGAACATGACTGAACCAACTAGTGGAGAAGCCTATCAACCAACTAGTATTTCATGAGGATGGGATGGGGTGGTTTTTCATGCCTCAATTGGAACCTCGATGAACTATCACTAGTAATCATTAGTTTTCAAATTCTTAGCACAGCACCACTTATTTTGGGCCCACAGTTGCTGTTCCGACCCGGCTACGCCCTGGATATCCTAGACCAAATGATAGGATTAGGATAGAATTATGTAACTTCCAGCATTGCTCCCCAAAGGAATAGATCCCTCAGCAATTGCCAACTTCTGTGAGCAGCCGGGCCCCATTACCCTTTTCGCCCTGCACACATCAAACACGGAAAGAAATCGCTTTTTGATGTGGTCAATGACAAGTTAAAAGGGAGAGCATACATTTTTGATCATTTATTTGTGGACATACTCATAATGAGAGGCCCCTTTCATACAAGAAGGGATAGTAAGGTAGAGCCTTACCAGACGGACCATCGCTGCAGGCGGCTTTTCCCGATCTAGGGCATCGATACCCTGAAAAGACGTATGGCTTCAATCGGCAGAAGTATACCAGTAGTACCGCACAAGGCGGTGGCGGAAGTTTTAAAGATAGGACACCATAGTAGAGGTGAGTTGTTGTGATGCATTGATGGCAGAGCGAATCGACTGATGGACCGAAAGGTGGTTGGAGTTATGTTTTTTGGAGTGGTTGCAGTGGTTGCAGTGGTCACCTCACCCACAACTGCTGGATGTAGTGTGGTGTAGTGCAGTTGTAGTTGTAGTTGTAGCGAGTGTAGTGGAGTTGTAGTTGTAGTGTAGTGTAATTAGTGTAGCGCAGTTGTAGTTGTAGTTGTGGTGTGGTGTAATTAGTGTAGTGCAATGTAGTGTAGTGTACTGTATTGTAGTCTAGCATAGTGTAGTGTAAAGTAGTGTAAAGTAGTGTAGTAGTAGTAGTAGTAGTAGTAGTAGTAGTAACAGTAGTAGTAGTAGTAGTAGTAGTAGTAGTAGTTGTTGTTGTTGTAGTGTAGTGTAGTGTAATTAGTGTAACGTGTAGTGTAGTGTACTTAGTGTAGTGTAGCTCAATGTAGTAGAGTTGTAGCTGTAGATGTAGTTGTACTTGCTGTTGTGGTGCAGTGTAGTGTAGTGTAGTGTTAGTTGTAGTCGTAGCTGTAGTTGTCGTTGTAGCTACGTAAACGTCCAAAAGTGGTCTGAATGTTGTGTGTTTTGTACATTTTGACTTCGAAATGTGCTTCGCACCGCAACGGCGTACACTTTTTGAACATATCAACCTCCAAAAGTGCTCTGAACGTGGTGTGCTTTGCACACTTTGACTTCGAAATGTGCTTCGCGCCGCAGCAGCGTGCGCCTCAGCAGCGTGCGCCTCAGCAGCGTGCGCCTCAGCAGCGTGCGCCTCAGCAGCGTGCGCCTCAGCAGCGTGCACTTTTCCGACATCTCAACTTCCAAAAGCGGTCCAAACATGATCATGAGGTGTTTTGCACATTTTGACTTGGAAACGTGCTTCACGTCACAACGGCGTGCACTTTTTTTTCGAGATCTCAACTGCCAAAAGTGCTCCGGACCTGAGGTGTTTTGTACATTTTGACTTCGAACTGTGCTTCCCGCCACAACGGCGTGCAAGTTTTCATCTCTCATCTGGCCAGGTGGCTCCGCACCCGCCGCTTTAGCGAGCCTACTTTTCGACCCTCCGAAGCCATAAATCATTCGAAAAAACATAGTGGATCACGACTTTTCTACCTTTTCGCGCACCTGCATTTTTTTTTCTGACCCCTTTTTTCTGTGATCTTCTCTCTTCTCTTCTCTTCTCTCCTCTCCTCTCCTCTTCTCTCTTCTCTTCTCTGGCTCTTCCCACCTCTGCTTTTCCATCTGTCCATATTGTCGGATTTGAAATTTGACTTCTAAACTCCCTTCGACTATTGTACCACAGTGTACCATGCTGTTTTTCACCATCGAAAACATCAACAATTCATCAACCCCAAGTCATGACTGGATGATCGACGCGTTCCCAGGTCGTTCCCAAGTCATGTCGACGAGTGGTTGGTCCTTCATGGACGAAGGTGCCGGGCTTGTTGGTTTCGATTCTTGGGTCGGCCGGGGCGTTTTCTGCACTTGGTACAGTAGAATGCAACTTCTCTGTATACGATATTTATGGAATTTTACAGATAAACCCACATAATTACACACCTTTGAATTCCACAGCAAAGTGTGACATTTCCGCCGACCATGCTCATGATATGTCAACTTTGTGAGCTGATCATCCATGACTGGATGATGCCTGCAGGGTAATCACCCCAACTACAAAACAGACACCTCCATTTAGATACCAAAATCCTGAGGAATAAAAAACCTTCATTTCCAATATTTTTGCTTCCGTGATACTTCTCCTTCAAGCACTGGCAGAAGATGGTTTGTCAGGCTCAAGCCGGATCTGCAAAATTTTGCATAGATTTATCAGTTTCACATCCCATTCAACTGATAATTGAATGGTTCATTCTTTGTTTTCACTCGCATTCTGTGATGCTGTTAGACAATATCAGATAATGGCTGGGAAATGGAACCAGTCTACATCCAACATCAGCATATGTAGATTTTACATGATTTTATGTTATGTCTTTGTCATTCTTTGTCCTTCCAGCCGTGTCACCAAGAAAAGTAACCTACCATTTAACCTACCAGCCGTGCTGTTCAATGCCTTGGATATCCTTGGATCAGTTTCGTTGGCATGTCATAGCGGCAAGGCATGTTTGAAGCGCCATGGCATGCTCTTTGGCTCTGCGATTGCCGCTCCTGGCGGGACTGAGCTTCATCTTTCTCAGAAGTGACTCTCAGATTGACGACCTCTCAGAACCTCTGTTTGTAGGACACCTGCCTGAAGGGCGGAGCCGGGAGCACTCTCTCGTATTTGGGGGGTACATCTTAGTACTCCCGCCCCTCTAACATTAAAATCACCCGCTGGAAGTCCTTGTCAAGTGGATGTGTCCATGGCTTGGGCCCCCCTTAAATGTTGCCTGTAATATTAGATATATTAGGGGGATCGTTTATAGTTTTATACCAGCTATTGATGTTGGTTTTGGGGATTTCTTATTAATGTGGGTTTCCCACATTATGACGTATTCTTCGTGAACAAAAACCATTGGCCGACGTTCCCAAACACCTGGACCGCATCCATCCGTGGCTTCGATTTCAGGGCTTCTGAAGATTTGTGCAATCCACGTGAATCCAAATATTGAGATTATAGATTCACCATCAATCTTGGGCAAAATATTAAGATTCACCACCACATATTGAGATTATTGGAAATATTAGATTATATTAGATTCAATTCCTTGAATTAGATTCACCATTTTTATCTATTTTCATCATCAACTCCAGGCAAAAAAGGATGAATCACCGAATTCGGACCCGAGATGTTCGCCACCTGTGCCGACTGAGGGATTTCCCAAGGTACCAACGGCCTGCTTTGTATGATGCAGGATGCAATTTCTATTGTCATAGATTCGTAGATTGATATATATATATATAATATAATATATAATATATAATATATATAATATATAATATATATAAAATATATAATATAATATATATAATATATATATAATATAATATAATATAATATATATATACTATAATATATATATATATATATATTGTTTTCTATATATTGACAGTATTGATGTGTATATTAATGATGGGATTTGATGTGAACATATTTGTGAAGTGAAACTTCTATAAACGTGATAAGAATCTGAAATTGAGTTCACCTCGTTCACATCCTTCCCAAATCCGCAATCATCATAAATCAGCTGGTGCTGAGGTCATTTGAATAAATGCAAGAAGGATGGTCAGATTGTCCCATGTTGGCCGGGGTCAGACGCTTGTGGAGCGCCATTTAAGGCAGGGGACTGGCACGGGAAGCTGAGACGCTGGATGGTTGTTTACATCATTATTGAAGGTATGATTTATATATATATATAATTATATATATAATTATATATAATTATATATATGTATATATATATATGTACATATACATATGTATATATATATATATGTACACATATACATGTATATATATATATATGTCATATTATAGGAAAGACACCATGGTTTAGTTTACTTGTTTCTGGTTTCAAGGTATTGCCAAAATCATCAAACATTGTTAAAAAACTGTTGGCATGTTCTGTTGTTTTCCTCGATGGTTGATCCTTGATCCGACTCTGGTTATGGCTCCCGTGGTGTTTCGGAATCCCTTTGGCCCTGGAACCAAAGGGTTCTCCAAACCAAGGGTTGATTGGAGTTGAAACTTGGACTAGTGACTAGTGTTTTTCTAGTCCAATTTTCACAAGTACGAGCCATCTATCACTGAGATGATATGGTTTTGCTTCAGCCCTTTCCCAATCTTTGCTATTGATTCATCGGGTTTTCCGAGTTCACCCTATTTTTTTTAAAAATATATTTTCTGGCTGTGGCTTCTATCCATTAGGTATGCTTATGTTTGATGACTTTCAAAGGAAGCCATCCAAACGGAAGCTTGAAGTAGGGATTCATTTGTTTTTTTTTTGAACTCCATTGGGATTTCTTTTTTGTGATATGAAATTCATCCAGCAATTCCAGTGACCAATGGCCAGCAATTCCCGGTGAGGATGCTCCGAGCTTTCATCTCATGAGTCAACATGGCTGTGCCGAAAACGATCCCAATGGCCCAGTGGCCCGGTTTTGTGATATCCAGTGATGAGATGGTGGATCTGGCATGACTGGAGGTTTCCTACGTCATGGGGTGCCCTTGTTCATCATCCATTTTGGATTGGGATTTTCCATAGGATTTTCCATATAAACCATGAATCTTGGGGGATCCCCCATAAAAATAATACAAATGGAACCCCCCATATGAGTCTCATGTTTCCATTGAACATAAACCATTCATTGACCGCAAAGTCACCAATGAAAGTAAGCATTTACTTGTACTTTGGTTACAGTCTCTCATACAATTTGGCAGATGTCATAAGTCTTTTCCATGGACAGTTGCAGTTGGTGTGAATTCAACTGTTGCCAGCAACGCATGGCTGGGAAATCCCCGTGGCCTAGAAATTTGGAGGTTTTTTCGTTCGCTGGGAAAATCTTCGAACTGTACCTCGACCCTCTACTTCCGAGGAAAAAATGGTCGTTCTAAGAAGATAGGTCAAACATGGTCAAACAACCCAAACAATGATTCACTTTGTTCCAAACATGTATGTTTCTGGGAAAATCTCAGCACTACGCCCCCGTACACAAAACGTGTGGAATTTTGGAACTCTACAAAAATCCGAAAACTACCTGAACAACAAGATTTCAGGATTTGCGGGTTTTTGAGGGTTTTTTGCGTTTTTTTTTTTTGCGAGGTTTTGCGGGTTTTTTCCTTAGTCGTTTGAGGCGCTGCAACCATTTTTTTGCCTTTGTCTCACCAAGCCCAAATACATGCAATCAAAGTCCTAAAATCGAAGACCAAAGTAGTATCTAGGTGTTTTGGGTAAAGCCAGTCGATATAGGTCAAACTCCGAAAACACCTAAATTTTCCTAGGATTTGGAGGGTCGAGGTATATTTAAAGGGGATTTTCCAGGACCAAGCCACGTTTTTTCCGACACCGGGGACACCGGAGGGTCCTGATCTCTGCGGTATCTTTTTCGCGGTGCTTCAGGTGTTTGATCCTGTCCATGGGGTGATCCACCACTTCTACCAAGCCCACTTGGCTGCGAATGAAGGGGTAGGACCAATGGGGGACTCAGTGGCTGGAGATCGACAGATGTCAAAATTGCTGCATGCTGAAGTATGTCAAAATTTTGCCTTGTAAGACGATGAGAATACCGGAATACTTTTTGACCCCGTTTTCATTTTGGGGCCACCCTTCATGCCATAATGTGTTGAATTGTCATTTCATCCTATTTGGCGGAGCTTCCTGGGTATCATGGGTACTATATGGTATTATGGGTATCATGGACCGACCCCAGGTTGTACATCGCAAGCATCTGCTCCAAATGACCATGATTGTTACCCCCCCTCCATGGCATGGAAAAACTCCCTCCACAGTCGTCACTTCAGAGTCGATTCAGACTCGATTTTGGTCGAGAAAACCTGCGTGCGTTTTCGTTGGCACGCAGGACCCATCTATGGTCATTTCGTGTCCAAAGATTTCGTGTCTTTCGGACCTGGATCCCCTTGGGGATGACGGGGATGACCAGAAGCGAGGGATTTTTTGAATATTTTTTTGTGCCGAAAGGCAGAGACCGAAACAGTGGATCCAAACCTTCCAGCGAAATGGTGGCCTTAGTTTTTTCCATGTGTTTAATGTGTTTCTTTCTATATTCATTGAGCGAATGTATTATTTGGTTGTGTCACAGGACAGTGTGCTGTACTCTGTGTTTCACAGTTTTAGGGTGACCAGTTTTAGCTGACAATTTCACAGCCAAGTTGGCCAGGGCCACTTGTAAACTAATGTAAACTATTGGGAGGGCAGGGCCCCCCCTTTATGGGCACCCCCAAAAATAGACATGGTGACATGGTGTTAAAATCAGACATAAACATACATAAGCGTGGCAGCTGTGGATAGCCGTCATCGGTCATGGCAGCGGCTAGTGAGGCATTGGACCGAACTACCCGTGGCCATTTGGAATGGCCTCGACACATCTTCTGAGCCTCCACGACAGCCCCTTGGTTCAGCAATCCGTCGTGCGCTGGAAATTTTGATCCTCCATTTAGGAATGGTCACGCTTCCATTCACAAGGCTTTGCACACAAGTACCTTCAACAAAAAAGAACAAACCTGCCTTGCGAACGTCTCTATCTTTACTTTTCTTTTTCTTGCCGTCTTTTTGGCTTTTCACGTCTTTCCCTTGACATCTGTTTCTCTTGAGAACTCTTTCCCTTGACATTTCTTTCTCTTGAGAACTCTTTCCCTTCACATCTCTTTCTCCTGATATGATCTCTTCTCACGTCTTTCTTCTACTCTTTTCCTCCTTTGACGTTGACTGTATCTTTTCTATGTCAATGTTTTATTCTTGTCATCACTCTTGGTCTTTTCCATTCTTGTCCATTTTCTCCTTGACCTTTTGTCGTCCCGTTGCTGTATGTGTACCTGCCAAAAACACCCAAGCTTTGAAAAGCTGGGAACAGGATAGCAAAACAATATCGAAATATGATGAAATATGGATGTGTCCTAAAATGGGGCTACCCCTGTTCATCATCCATTTTAATAAGATTTTCCATTTTCAGCATCCTTTTGGTGGTACCCCCATTTCTGGAAAACCTTATATATAATATACACACTGAATACATACACCTTCATTTGCGCCAGAAACTCGCAGCAAGCTGCGACAATCCAAATCCCAAGTTCCGAAAGGTGCGCCTCCCAGAATGATCCATCGAAATTCAAATGGTGGGTCGAAACATGTCGAAACCATATTTGACTGCGGGAATCATTCGATTCAGCAAAACTATTTGAGGTTAATGGACCAGAGTTTGACCCACCAAATCTTTGAAATAATTATCAAAGTGCAAGGTCTGAAAATATACAGCTTTTACGAGAGGCTTCATTAAACATGCAAGGTGAAGATCTCAAAACAACGCTTTCGTTCGAAGTGTCCTTCCAAAATGAAAGTTGAATATGTAAACATAGGGCAAGTATCTTTGTTTTTGTATCCCTTCCATGTCATGGCTTTCTCTTGGCATCTCTTTATCTTTCCCTTTACATTGTCCCTTGCATCTCTTTCTGTTGCTACTTCTTTGTCTTATTTCTTGCCCCTTCTTTCTCCTAAGATTTCTTTCTCATGGCATGTCCTTGTCTGCGCTTCTCAAGTCTCCACAACCCAGAATTTTATCTCTTAATTTTACTTTGACGCTTGTGGTCGTTTACACCTTCGACCACTAAATTGGATGCCCAAAACGGGTTGGAACAGACTTTGTTGACATCTTTACTGTACTGGAATTTGTGTCTTCTTCCTGAAATGTTGCATTTTGTTGTTAATTTTAAGAACGTGCGCATATCCGCTGGGAAAGAATTCCATCAACGCGGCTGACTACAACATCTCATTTGCTTGCATTTAGCCATAACACATTGGCTCTTGTCTTGAGCACTGAGCATGCTGTGTGCAAAATCAACCGGATGTGAGTTAGGAACAGTCAGTTTGGGGGTTTTGTTGAAGCCACCCACTTTTCAGGAGTCCAGGGTCGCAAATCAATATTTTGGACATCGAGGGGTTCTAAAAACGCCACCGTGTGCTCGGAACAATCAGTTTGGGGGAAAAGCCCCTGTTAAGGACCCCAGGAGGTGTTTTCAATTTATTGGAAAACGAGTGCTGTGAACAATCGCCCCCGTTCTCAATGTTCATCCCGGCATCTGCAGAATATTCATTTTTTTCTATTTTCCTGTGGTCCAGACCCTTTTTTGACTCTTCGCTATTTGGCAACGCAACCTTAAACAACTCCACCCAATTATGTTCTGGAGACTTTATTTTTTCGCATTCGCGCTGTTTTTTTTTCCTTTTTCACCCAGCATGGCCATTTGAAAATCAATGTCGGCCTGGTTGCCATGCCCAATGTGTTCGTTTCTTTTTTTTCTTCCCAAGAAATCTCGCAATCTGGGCTGGGCCGCCCGTTTTAAATTCAACATCGGCAAAGAAACAGATTGAAGGTTTTCACAATTAACCGCGCCAAAGCCGCATGTGCACCCTAAAATTTGTAATTTATAGAGCAGAATACCCATCATGAATCATGAATACCGCGCTTACACAAGTTGCTCGCTACGATATTCAGCTGGCAGACGCGCCAGCTTCGGAAAACAACGGGTAAATATTGCATCCTTGAGGTGGTGGGGCTTGAATCCAAAGAGACCGTTTCACTTTGATGTCATTTAGTTCCTAAACCAACCGTGGTCTTTGTTTTGCTGCTGAAGGCTTCCTGCAACAACTCGTGCTTCTCCTGGGAAAATTTTGTTGACGGTGACCCCTGTGCCTCTCAGGCTTTCTGAAGATTCAAGGTCTTGCGCTTCACGCCAATTTACGTGTTTTCTGGGTACAAAAAAAGATTCGGGAAGACTTGGGGAACCAACTCGAGAAGGATGGGATGTACATAGGGCAGCGAAATTCGGGAGTCAGGTCAAGAAAATATTGGGGCGAAACAAAGGGTCAGCAGGCAAATTGATTGGGAGAGGCTCAGGCTGGATGAGGGCTTGGCTGAGGAACAGACTGAAAATCAATGTGCCAGAACCATTCGCATTAGAATATTCAATAACCAACCTGAGAGAATAAAGGCGGCCCAACGCCTTAAAAAAAAACTTGGGCGAAATCACGGACCCAGCATTGAGGAGGAAGCGTCAGGGTCAGGAATCAAATTAGAAACAAGGTGGAAGGCGGAAGCAAACATGAAAAATTGTAACAGATGCTTCCCCCAAAAAAACGGGTCCACCCATGATTCCAGAGCTGGCCCTTGAAAACAGGTGCCCAGACCCAAGATTCCAGAGCAGGTGCCCCAACCCAAGATTCCAGAGTTGACTCCTGAAAGCATGTGCCCCAACCCAAGATAGCCTTGAAAACAGGTTGCACCCAAAATTCCACGAGTCGATTCATTAAAACAAGTGCCGAAGCAAAGATTCCATTGGAAACAGGTGCCGCTGACTTCTGAAAACAAGTGAACCCAACCGAGAAAAAACAGCCGGCCCAACACAAGGTCCCAGATTCCAGCCTATGATTCCAGAGCCGCCAGAACCGGCTCCTGAAAGCAAATTGCCCACACCAAAAAAGGGCTTCAACCCAAGATCCCAGAGTTGACTCCCAACAACATCAGGTCCCCGGGCCCAAGATTCCAGAGTTGACTCCTGAAAACAGGTGCCCCCCACCAAAATTCCTGCAGCTGATTCCTGAAAACCAGAATCGCTTCCTGAAACAGGTGCCCAGACCCATGATACCAGAGTTGGTTCCTGAAAGCAGGTGCCGGACCAAAAATTCCAGAGTTGACTCCTGAAAACGGGTGCCCCAATCCAAGATTCCAGAGTTGACTTTTCAAACCGGTGCCGACTCCTGAAAGGAAGTCCCGGTCCGAAAACCGAGATTCCAGAGCTGACTTCTGAAAACGGGTGCCCGGACCCAAGATTCCAGAGTTGAGTCTTGAAAACAGGCCCCAAACCAAAGATTCCAGAGTTGACCCTGAAAGCAGGTGCCCGGACCCAAGATTCCAGAGTTGACTCCTGAAAACGGGTGGCCGGACCCAAGATTCCAGAGTTGAATCTTGAAAACAGCCCCCGGACCCAAGATTCCTGATTTGACGCTTGAAACCATGTACCGGGCCCAAGGTTCCAGGGTTGACTTTTGAGACTAAGACCCGGGCCCAAGATTCCAGAGTTGACTCCTGAAACCATGTGCGTTCCAGGCACCCAAGTTTCCAGAGTTGACTCCTGAAAACGGGTGCTCGCACTCAACATTCAAAATTGATTCCCGCAAATAGGTGCCCGCACCTAAGATTCCAGAGTTGACTCCTGAAAACGGGTGCCCGCACCCAAGATTCCAGAGTTGACTCCTGAAACCGGGTCGGCTTAAAAGCAGGTCGGAGGCCCGGGATTCTGGAGTTGATTCCTGAAAGCAGGTGCACGGACCGAAGATTCCAGAGTTGACTCCTGAAAACGGGTGGCCGGACCCAAGATTCCAGAGTTGAATCTTGAAAACAGCTCCCGGACCCAAGATTCCTGATTTGACGCTTGAAACCATGTACCGGGCCCAAGGTTCCAGGGTTGACTTTTGAGACTAAGACCCGGGCCCAAGATTCCAGAGTTCACTCCTGAAACCATGTGCGTTCCAGGCACCCAAGATTCCAGAGTTGACTCCTGAAAACGGGTGCTCGCACTCAACATTCAAAATTGATTCCCGCAAATAGGTGCCCGCACCTAAGATTCCAGAGTTGACTCCTGAAAACGGGTGCCTGCACCCAAGATTCCAGAGTTGACTCCTGAAACCGGGTCGGCTTAAAAGCAGGCCGGAGGCCCAGGATTCTGGAGTTGATTCCTGAAAGCAGGCGCACGGACCGAAGATTCCAGAGTTGACTCCTGAAAACGGGTGGCCGGACCCAAGATTCCAGAGTTGAATCTTGAAAACAGCTCCCGGACCCAAGATTCCTGATTTGACGCTTGAAACCATGTACCGGGCCCAAGGTTCCAGGGTTGACTTTTGAGACTAAGACCCGGGCCCAAGATTCCAGAGTTGACTCCTGAAACCATGTGCGTTCCAGGCACCCAAGATTCCAGAGTTGACTCCTGAAAACGGGTGCTCGCACTCAACATTCAAAATTGATTCCCGCAAATAGGTGCCCGCACCTAAGATTCCAGAGTTGACTCCTGAAAACGGGTGCCCGCACCCAAGATTCCAGAGTTGACTCCTGAAACCGGGTCGGCTTAAAAGCAGGTCGGAGGCCCGGGATTCTGGAGTTGATTCCTGAAAGCAGGTGCACGGACCGAAGATTCCAGAGTTGACTCCTGAAAACGGGTGGCCGGACCCAAGATTCCAGAGTTGAATCTTGAAAACAGCTCCCGGACCCAAGATTCCTGATTTGACGCTTGAAACCATGTACCGGGCCCAAGGTTCCAGGGTTGACTTTTGAGACTAAGACCCGGGCCCAAGATTCCAGAGTTGACTCCTGAAACCATGTGCGTTCCAGGCACCCAAGATTCCAGAGTTGACTCCTGAAAACGGGTGCTCGCACTCAACATTCAAAATTGATTCCCGCAAATAGGTGCCCGCACCTAAGATTCCAGAGTTGACTCCTGAAAACGGGTGCCCGCATCCAAGATTCCAGAGTTGACTCCTGAAACCGGGTCGGCTTAAAAGCAGGTCGGAGGCCCGGGATTCTGGAGTTGATTCCTGAAAGCAGGTGCACGGACCGAAGATTCCAGAGTTGACTCCTGAAAACGGGTGGCCGGACCCAAGATTCCAGAGTTGAATCTTGAAAACAGCTCCCGGACCCAAGATTCCTGATTTGACGCTTGAAACCATGTACCGGGCCCAAGGTTCCAGGGTTGACTTTTGAGACTAAGACCCGGGCCCAAGATTCCAGAGTTGACTCCTGAAACCATGTGCGTTCCAGGCACCCAAGATTCCAGAGTTGACTCTTGAAAACAGGTCCCACAAACGCAAAATTGCGATCTAACCCAACCTCCAAAATGCAGAGTTGATTCTGGAAACCATGACTCTGCAATCTAGGGTCGAAGCTGCCAAATTCAGAGTTGAAGACGCGATCTTTTCCAAAGGGATTGTGGGATCCAATGTCTCAGCCGCAAACCAGCCGCAAAATTTCAAAGCCCAATTAAATTCTGGAGTTGACTTCGGAGTCAACGGCCCAAACCCAGATTCCAGCGTTGACTCTTAAGGAATCGAGGATCCAGAGCTGACTCTGGAATCAAAGGCCCAAACCGCCAAAGTCCAGAGTTTGGCACGAACCGAAATTCTTGAGTTGGCTCTGGAATGAAAGGTTTAAGTCACCAAAGTTCAGGTTTGAATCTAAAAACCAAAATTCCTGCGGAGAAAATCTTTGGCAGGGTCAGTTCCAAACAATCCGGCGGCAACAGTGGGCTTAAGAGTCAGCTCTGAAACTGTGCATTACCAAGAATCAGCCCTGGAAAATGCTGGTTGGAGATGCTTATTGTTTCAAGATTCAAATCTCGAAAATTGAGGTGCGAACATGCTATAACATGTGGGGTGGCAAAACGTTTTCAAGTGTCCACCCTGGAAGTGTGGATGGACACATCTTTGTCCGGAAGGAACCAACTCTGGAACGTATTTTGTTTTCATTTGTTTTCAAATGTTTTCAAGAGGCATCTCTTTAATGTGGTTTCGAAGAGCGGCGCCAAGTTGGCGCCAAGACTCAAACCTAGGAAAGTTCAACCGGTATCACCGGCCAACAACAGAAAATGTTGCGTCGGAAAAAAATAAACGCCAGCGGTGATTTTTTTAACGAAATTTTCTACCAAAAACCGTTTTTGGACATTATGGGGATGCATTGAATTTTCATCAGCTATCTTCCACAAGGCTGGGCTGGAAACATGTATTCGCGAGTCAGGAAAACGCGGGGCGGAAAAATGGTTTCAAGAGCTAACTCTTGAATATGTGGGGCAGAAACAGTCTTCAGGAGTCAAGGCTGCAAAACGTAAAAAATTGTGTTCAAATTCAAAGTTAGCTTTAGAAAATGTGGGGCAGAACCTGTTCTTCTAAGGATGCAGTTCCGGAAAAAGGGGAAAATGCGTCCTATGAGCCAACTCTGGAAAGAGTGGGGCGGAAAAGTGGTTTCAAGAGCCGGCCTTGGAAAATGTGCATTGGAAAAGTGGTGTCAACGGGTTTTCGCAATAAGACTTGACTCTGGAAAATCTGGTGCTGAAGCGTGTTTTTAAGAAACTCTGAAAATATGGCGTGGGACAATGTTTCCAAGAGCCAAACCTAGAAATCAACGACACCTGTTTCAAGAGCCAAGCGTGGAAATGCGACCGTTGCAAGGAATTAGGTTTTTACAATAACGTTTGTTCCTCAATATTACTAGGCCCGGCAATTTTCAGACATGCATTGCGCCCTATTAGCCATGGATCTAAAACATTTTACCAACATCTCGATTTTTAAAAATCTTTGCCTTGGCCTTGGGTTTGTTTTACGTTTCCTCAGCGTCATGTTCGATGTCTGTCCTCCATGATCTTTTATTCTTCATCTCAGCAGCTGTTGACGCCTTGCTCATGTTTGTCCAATCGCGCGCTGAATGCTTCAGAAAACGGCCCAGGGAAAGTAATGCGTATCTTTCTCCATTGCCTCCGTTCATGGGAAAAACTGCCCCTACATTGGAATTTCGCGATCAAGCATTGCGTCTTCAAAATTATGGGGTCGTGGCTGCCCCCAAATTCTCGTATGCGATTGTCTCAATTCGTATGGCTTCAAACTGGGCCATGAAATAAGGGGAGACGTAGTTGAAGAAATGCACGCAAACCAAAAACCGACCTGCATGCAATGTTTGCCAAGATCAGCCTAAGCCTACCATTCGCCTGGTGCCGTCTTACTAAACAAGCAGGGAATAATTACTCTCCCGGAAAGCGAAAGACAGGTAAGATCCTACCACCACTGCGGTTCAAACCTGTCCGACTTTTTGCGCGCTACAAGTCTTTCATACCATTCCCCTTTGTTAAACGATTGTGCTAAATGAGACAGGGAACAACAGGAAAACACCTGGACACCAAAGAAAAGCTAGGATGGACAAACCACGACTCATTGGCAGCCACCTTTCCTGTATCAGAGTGAAGGTTTTTTTTCATGAGCCGCACGTACTTGCCACTGTCTTTTGTTTGCCCGCTGTGCGCTGTACTCCCACAGCGCTGTTCGGCGGCGAGGGGAGAGCGAAGGAATTGCAAACAGCAAGATGGTTTTTGGGCCGTGTTGCAATTTCTTTAGTGGGCAAAACCACCAAATCTCAACCGCCACACTGTACGCAAGGAAAAATGCCAGCAAACACAAACTAAACAAATTGGGGTCCAGCTGCTTGGCAAACAGGAAAAACGAATTCAAGTAGAAAAGGGCCGGGAGCCTGTGAATCCAATGAGCAATAATGGCAATAATTGTGTAAGAAATTGTTCGCCTGTGGTCGCCCCCCTTATGCTTTATAGTGAGCCACGTATGGCCTATATGGTGGGCCCTTTGCGACCCTCTTGGCTGCATTCACCCCGTCAGGACGGTTCTAGTTGTTTTGGTGCATAGTGAAAGATTTTGGTCTCCCATGGGCTCTTTGAAATATCGAGGGCCTTCATGTGCATGCCCATGGTCCACCATGGAACCAAACCCCCGGCTTCAAACTATAGCTAAGATTGACTGTTGCGAGATGTGAGTGACCGCAGACAAGTTTGAAACATGATTGCATGGCGGCACAAAATCTAAACGTGTTTTTTGTTGGCTATAGATAAACATTAATACACATTCATATTGTATGAGAACATCACAAAATGGTGGAAGTTGCAGTTCTTTCGCAGCTATGGTTCTCTTGGGGTGTCTCTGTGATTGTTTCAGTTCACAGCTGCCCTGCAGGACCTTTTATGACACCGTGGAAACTCGGTATGTTTATGGCCGGGAAACTAATCGATGAAACTAATGACATTATAATAACATTCCAAACAAGATAGAAAAGTAAACTACTACCATCTACTACCAATTTTTTAGGATTGGATTTGACTTTTCGATTTTTTTGGGCGGAGGTTAGCTTTTCAAAATGGGATGATCATTTCCGTAGGCACCAGAGGTGGTGGTGGTGATGCTATGTTTGACGACATGGGGCGGGGTACCCCGAGAGTTTTGACCTTGTATTCGTAGATTCTCATCGATATTCTATGCTCGGATTTTGTGCGAATTCTGAGAGGTTGGGCCCAGACACTTCTACATTTCACGGCCTCAACGGTATAGGTGTGGACAGATTTCCAGGATTTTCCAGGTAAATATAGATATATGAACAATAAGAATGAGTCTAGTAACCACAGGGCTAAGGGCATGTAGCCTCTACGGACAGCGCGAGTCTATGCGAGTCAATGCGAGTCATCTATTTACAGATGTGTCTTGAAGGGTAGTTTGCTTAAATCCGTGGTTTGTCTCTGAAAAATCGGATACCCCAAAACCCACTATGTACTCATCATTTTCGCCTCATTTCTGGCGATTTTGAGGGCTAGCTACTCCCATGTTCCGACAGGTCCTTGGCATTCCGTTTTTTGTGCGGGAGGTGGAAACGACCAGGAGATAAAGCTAACAACCACATCCAACATCCAGTTTTCATGTTCAAAAACTAGGTACACCAGGCATGTTGAGCCAAAACAAATTGGCTTCGCTAAGAAAATAACGGTTCCGTTGATGGGCCACTTCTGGGACCTCAACCTTCGTTTCTGAGCTCTTCGGTGATCGTTCTTTTCCGCCATACGCCATGGACAAATCAAGCCGGCCATGGTTTTCCATGGAAGCGAAAGATGAACATCCAGAACCATATGGAGGTACATATTTAATTTAATCATATTTTATACATATTCATCTTCTGTAAGTATATGTATGTATATATATACTAGTATAGCAAAAACAGATAGAACAGGTTCAATTTACCACTATTTTAGCATAGAATTTTACGTTTATTTACTCTTTTGGATTCTTTTGGGTCAATTAAATGGTTTTGTATTGTTTGGTGATTTCCTGCATATGATCATCCTGAAGTAGATAGAATATGGACATTTCAAACAAAAAGACACTAAAATGGGAAAAATATCTGAACATTCCACTAAGTGGAATAGTCATGTGGATAGATTTCACTAAAGATTCCATTCCATCTATGGATAGCTAGTATAATGGATTCCATTATTGGATAGATAATAGGTAGTATGCCAATTCCACTGTACAAGATGGTGGCCGATAGTTAGCTAAGTTGGTTTATAACTCCAATAACTATGGTTTATGGTAGATATATCTATACTTACGGCCAAACACCTCGTCTTGCCCGCGCCTGTTGGCCCGCCTTCTTCGTATCAGCTGAAAACATGGTAAAAAATGGATATTTTAGCATGGTTAACTTGATGTTCTAGATCAGAACGCACAGCAGAGGGACCTGTGCGGGTTCGTTCCACATCATCATCATCATCACCACCATCATCATCATCAATGAAGATCTTCAACGAATATAGAAGTGTAGCGGGGTAGGAGAATAAAACTCTTATTGAAGATCTTCAATGAGTGTAAAATGAATTTAAAGTTTAACGGGGGTGGGACTTTTATCTTCCCTTACACCTTTGTTGATCTTCCCAAGACAAGAAGGGTGCGGGCGAAACGGGGTGTTTGCGCGTATACTTACTACGGTTTATAAACTCACTTATAACTGGGGGGCACCACCTTGTAGTATAATGGAATCCTTTATTTAAGATAACATTATCTTGCAATCAGGATGACTAAATTCCATTTGCAATACAAAGATCTCGAAGTACTAGACTGGACTACTATTTGGGGTAACCTGACTAGATTCATGATCCATTTTATAGTCATCTGTTTTCATGGATATTAGATTCATTATACCAGTGTGATCCATCATAGATCGATTATACTATCCAATCATTAATCTAATACTGATCCATCATACTAGATTTTGGTAGATATTCATCATGCAAGATATATACACTATGATATATAGTATATCCTATTCATTAAACTATACATGTTCCATTGTAGATTCATTCTACTAAGGCCATATTTAAAAAAATAACAGATTCCTTGTACTATCCTTATGATCCGTTTTAGATCCATCTAGATTTTATCAGATATTCTATCATCTATATTATGATAATCTATGATATATATATATACACACTTTATATATACTATATCTTATTTATTAGTTTATTATATTTCATTATAGTAGATTCATAGGTGTATAGAATTTCATGATACATAGATATCTGGGATATATCTATACTTTGATGTACAGCTTACATATCATTTCAATAGATAACTCCTTATACTATCCATTCTGATCCATTATAGTATACCGCAAACTATTCATTTTACTATGTAGTAGATCCATTTTACTATATTTCAATAGATACCCTCTGGTAAACACACATAGCTATTGAAAATGGTCATTTATAGTGGATTTTCCCATTAAACATGGTGATTTTCCATAGTTATGTTAGTTTACCAGAGGGTATTCTATCCAAGTAGCGATGGCTTTCGCGGTCCCGCGCTGGTCGTGCGCCGCTGAACCAGGCCATCTACACGGGCAGTGCGCTTGTGCTTCCCGGCGCCGGGCCCAGCGGAGCTCCGGGCATTGTGCAGATCTATCCAGGCACGGAGGATGGCGATTTGATTTGGGATGAAATTAATAGTGATTAAAACTGATTGATAGCGAACCCATTGGTTAATAGGAGTTAATGGTGGTTAGTAGTGGTTAATGGTAAATTAGTGGTGAATTGATGGTGATTAAAACTGATTGATAGTGGTAAATTAATGGTAAATTAGTGGTGAATTGATGGTGATTAAAACTGATTGATAGTGATTAGCAATGATTCATAGTGAATAATAATGGTTCGTAGTCATTAATAGTGATTACTAATGGTTAATCATGGTTCATAAGCATGATATGGGGGGTTCCATCAATGGGGGTACCCTGTTAAAGCTGGATGGTTTTAATATGTTTTAATCCCATTCATATCCCCATTAAATACCATATTATCGTTGAAATAACATAACGAACTGGAAAGATCCACCATGCTACTAATGGGTACAATCAACTTTTTTCGACTGGGCCATTTTCAATAGCTATGTAAACGTTTACCAGAGGGTAATAGCGATTAATAGTGATAATAATGGCTAATGATGGTTTGAATGGGAGATATGAAATTAAGATGAATTGGATTGGATATATTTTATTGGGTTTATTCCTGTTGAAGCCACGAGGACGTTTTAACTTGGACTCCTCTTCTGAGTCTACTATATGATGGGATATAGCTAACAAGATGATAAAACTCTGGGGTGTCTGGAATCTGGAAAATGGGGATTCAGCCCCAAGTTCTGGCTCTTTAAAATGAGGAAAATGATGATAAGCAATGGAATTTGCCATGTATACCCTATTTTCAGAAGAAACACAGATTCTGTTGGGATGCTTTGGTTTCAAAATTTCTGGAAGATCTGCAGGAAAACCCAAAAAACATGGAAACCCTGCTTCGTGTTTTTTTGGCGTTTTTTCCTGCCGGTCATCCCTCAAAGCAACTCGTTGACTTGGGGATGGAGAACTGGATGTCGTATATCATAACTGTAACGGGGCTACAACCCCAACAGAAGTTTCCATAAATCATTGTCCCAATAATGGTTCTATATTTTTATGTCTTAGAAAAACTAATCTATATTTAGCTATATTTAGCTATATAGGGGTTTTCCTAAAAACTGGTACCCATGTTCATCATCCATTTTAGATTGGAATTTTCGGTTTTAAACCACCCATTTTGGGGTACACCCAATTATGGAAACCCCAATATCATGCTTATGAACCATTATTAACCATTAGTAATCACTATCAATGACTAACCACTATTGATCACTATTAATCACGGTTAATCACTATTAACCAGTATATATCTGTAGTATTCTGTAGTAGTCTATATTTAGTTTTATGAAAACATTATTAGCAATTATTAATAGCTATTAATGCCTATTAACCCCTATCAACCAATGGGTTTTCCAAGTGGTTATCTATATTTAGCTATATTAATGACCTATTAACCACTATTAATCACTGTTAATCACTATTAATTCATGGAACCCCCTTTTTTTTGTAACCCCCACATTTTATGAACGAGGAGAGGGTTCCGCGCGTGCAAAAAGGGTTCCACGCCCGGCGCCTGGCTCGTCCGATGAAATTTCCAAAACATTTCGCCATTTCCAAGGTGACCAGGCTAGGCCTTTCCCCAAAAAGTCTGCTAGTTTTTTTTCCATCTAATATTAGCATAATAAAAAATAGATAATTAGATTACTTTACTTTATAGATTATAATAGATAATAGATTAACAATCTAATTATCTAATAATATTAATTACTTTTTCAAAGGTCAGATGTAATAACATTTTTTTAATATACATTGCTAATAATATGACAACATCAGTATTCAATTTTAATGATATTTTCCTGAAACACATAGTTTTAATACATATAATGTGCTAAACATATGAACATATCAGTGTTTTTGGATATTTAAACCATCCATTAAACATCCCACTTTACGTCTTTTTCCTCTGAATTTTCAAGTCGCGGGCAAAACAATGTCATAAACCAGCCATGACTGGGAATGGTTTCTACATACTATGAAAATATATGAAAATGGTGATGACTGGGGGATGGTGCAAACGGCATTGTTTTACCCACATGACCCATTTCCTTCAGGACTTTGTGATGCGCGCTGGCCTGAATGCAAGACCGGCACACTGCTGGCTCAAGCTGTACCGGCACCTCGACAGACTTCAAACTTGGGGTGATGACAGGGTAAACCCACAGGTGAAGCCAATGAACATCGTAAAACTGCACGTTTTGATAATATTTATGGTAGATATAAGATATATCTATAGTTACTATGGATGAATGTGGTAAAAACAATGCCATAAACCATCCATGAATGGGAATGGTTTATGCCACTGATGACTGGGGGATGAATCCTTATTGTTTCGGTATGTCGATTGGGTACCTCTCCTCATTTCAGACACACCAAGGGTTTGGGAATGAGGTATTCTGAGGTATTCTGAGGTATTCTTCGGTATTCCCAAAAAGATAGAACAGTGAAATCCTACTCAGATAGTCATGAATTGAAGCTGTTCTATCTTTTCAGGGATGTGTATTTATTTTAAACTACAGTAGCCTATAGGAATCATTCTTGGGGGGGTAGGTATCTTCGGGTTGGCTCACTTTTGGATGTTGGCTCATGCTGGTCTACACTCCACCGACTGAATGTGACTCGTATATAATTATATATTTTGGAATAATTTGTCTTGAATTATTCAAACCTATCAGGAATACATACATACAGTACATGTTTTAAACTACATTCTCGGGGTATGTGATGGGGAGTATATGCCCCTCGTTTTGGGACCCATGCATACTCCCCTGACCAGTAGTATGATACATAAGATGGTGAAATACATATGACATCTAGAATGTCCAGTAAAGCTAGTCAAGCTTAGAGTACTTACCATGCAACACACTACCTGCTTTTGACCACGGTGGGTAAATAACAGACTCACATTTAGATTCTCGCAATGGGATTGCTACCACAAACGCAGTAATTGAACGTGAAATCCAGTCGAATCCCTTGGTGGAGTGTGCATGAATCCTCCAAGTATGTAATATCAAGCATTATGCATGAGTTATAGTGTACCTCCAAGAAGGTTGCCCGCTTCAGAAACCAAAAAACACGATTCAGAAACCCAAATGTGCGATTCAGAAACCAACATTTACGATTTAGAAACCAAAACTTGGCGGTCACCCCCTCTGACCACTATGTTGCATCTTGAACTTGACAAGAGATCAAAACCCCGCCACCCCCTCTGATCACTATGTTGCATCTTGAACTTGACAAGAGATCAAAACCCCGCCACCCTCTCTGATCACTATGTTGCATCTTGAACTTGACAAAAGATCAAAACCCCGCCACCCCCTATGATCACTATGTTGCATCTTGAACTTGACGAGAGATCCAAACCCCACCACCCCCTCTGATCACTATGTTGCATCTTGAACTTGACAAGAGATCAAAACCCCGTCACTCCCTCTGATCACTATGTTGCATCTTGAACTTGACAAGAGATGAAAACCCCTTCACCCCCTCTGATCACTATATTGCATCTTGAACTTGACAAGAGATCAAAACCCCGCCACCCCCTCTGATCACTATGTTGCATCTTGAACTTGACAAGAGATCAACACCCCGCCACCCCCTCTGACCACTATGTTGCATCTTGAACTTGACAAGAGATCAAAACCTCGCCACCCCCTCTGATCACTATGTTGCATGTTGAACTTGACAAGAGATCAAAACCCCGCCACCCCCTCTGACCACTATGTTGCATCTTGAACTTGACAAGAGATCAAAACCCCGCCACCCCGTCTGATCACTATGTTGCATCTTGAACTTGACAAGAGATCAAAACCCCGCCACCCCCTCTGATCACTATGTTGCATCTTGAACTTGACAAGAGATCAAAACCCCACCACCCCCTCTGATCACTATGTTGCATCTTGAACTTGACAAGAGATCAACACCCCGCCACCCCCTCTGACACTATGTTGCATCTTGAACTTGACAAGAGATCAAAACCCCGCCACCCCCTCTGATCACTATGTTGCATCTTGAACTTGACAAGAGATCAAAACCCCGCCACCCCCTCTGATCACTATGTTGCATCTTGAACTTGACAAGAGATCAAAACCCCGCAACCCCCTCTGATCACTATGTTGCATCTTGAACTTGACAAGAGATCAAACCCCGCCACCCCCTCTGATCACTATGTTGCATCTTGAACTTGACAAGAGATCAAAACCCCGCCACCCTCTCTGATCACTATGTTGCATCTTGAACTTGACAAGAGATCAAAACCCCGCCACCCCCTCTGATCACTATGTTGCATCTTGAACTTGACAAGAGATCAAAACCCCGCCACCCCCTCTGATCACTATGTTGCATCTTGAACTTGACAAGAGATCAAAACCCCGCCACCCCCTCTGATCACTATGTTGCATCTTGAACTTGACAAGAGATCAACACCCCGCCACCCCCTCTGATCACTATGTTGCATATTGAACTTGACAAGAGATCAAAACCCCGCCACCCCCTCTGATCCTTATTTTGCATCTTGAACTTGACAAGAGATCAAAACCCCGCCACCCCCTCTGACCACCATGTTGCATTTTGAACTTGACAAGAGATCAAAACCCCGCCACCCCCTATCTAGATTTTTTGGTTTCCGAAGAATCCTTGGTTTCCGAAGAATAGTTTTTGGTTTCCGAAGAATCTTTTTTAGTTTCCGAGTGATTTTTTCACCGTACCCAGTACCTCCAAAGAGGAATGCTCCCTATGTTCATAGGTGAAAGGCACAAACGCAACTTCTCACCGTCACCAAGATATTGAATCTGCGGATGTCTTCAAGTGTTTTCCGTGACAGGTACAGCTAGATCGTTTCAGCTTTGTTAGGGTCAAAACATTGTAGTACGGTTAATGGATGTTAATGGTCATCCATCAAACAATGGAAATCCAAAAACAGAATGGGTATATAAGTCCCTATGAATGGGTTCATGGCCTCAATATGGGTATAGAATGGTATAGAATCCAACTATATTTTAACTTGACCACGGCACGTATGTTCTATTTTCTATAAGAAAATGTTCATGATGGATTCAAATGGCTAAGTTATCAACAAGACCCAATCATTGACCCTGAGGGGCATCGTTCAATGGATTGGTTCAAGGGAAAATCTACAGTAAACCATGGTTGTACAATGTTGTACATCAAATATAAGACTTTCCCGCAGATTACCCCATCATTTCAATTCCGGAATTGTGGATGGCCCCTGATACATCTACCAGATTTCTTCCGCCACGTTCCCGAGTTTGACCCCCGACTGGGAACGATGTCCAGGCCGACTATTCGGATCAGCTGCTGACGAACTGGACGAAGCCTCTTTTCAATCCGTCCCTTGACGGCAGGGATGAAGGATGCCCCAGTTCGTGAACGCTAAGTTGACGCACATAACTTAGTTAACTAGGGTTTATGGGAAATAGAACTATAGTATCTATAGTTAATGGGGTTTACAAGCCAACTTATAACATCTTATAACTGGGGGGCACCACCCTGTATCCATATGGGGGGTTCTTGAAATGGAGGATTTGCATGTCACCATAGGCCCCATTTCAGGAAACACCCCAAATGGGGGATGCACCCAAGAATAAGCCTTGAAAAATGGGGGATTCATGGTCATAGAATGTCATAGACCAGGGGATGAATTGGGAGTAGCCTGTTTTCAAACAAACCCGGATTCCATCATATCCCAAATAGGGAGCCAGTTGGTAGAGTTTCATGGAGTTTCCCAGCCCAGTTTCCCAAAATCCTTTTAAAACATGTTGAATTTCCGGTGAATAGGGCTACGAAATATAGTACTTAGTACTTTAACTCAATGACGGCGTACAGATATTATTGCAATATTGTTTTACGCATATATCATTATAAAATATTATATACCTGCTATCATTTGTGAGCCACCACGAAAACTTCGGCAATAGGAACCCCTTTTTGGGGACGGACGAGTTGGCTTTCAATCTTTTTCAAGCATGAGGTAAGCCATGAAAGCTTCCCAGATAGCAATATCCGTGGTGAACGCGATGGGACCTTCCCAAATTTGTGCCCTTTCCAATCACCTTGAGTACATCCCTGTTTCACGGGAATCTCCAAAAGTGCTGCGGCAAAACATGGGACACCAGCTATTTCACAGATATTTTTTTGCCAGGGATCCAAGATTCACTGGCTTTGAAGCCTTGGGTGGTGTCCCAGTTCGTTAAGTTGGACGAAGTGGCGAAGTGGCTTACGGTAGATATATCATTATATATCATGATATATATATATAGATAGTTAATGGATGTTCATGGGGCTTATAAACCAACAACCATTTCACTGGGGGGGAAACCTGGCACCACCATGTAGCGGCTTAAATGATTTGTGCTTCGCAACCTGACTCAACCTGTTTTGATCTAACCTTCCGGTGAACCTTTCTGGTTGGTGGTTTCAAACATGGCTGGATTATTTTCATTTATTTTCCACAATAAAAATGGGATGTCATCCTTCCCATTGACGAAGTCCATCATTTTTCAAGATGGGCACATTGCACCACCAACCAGCTTTTTTTCAGCTTGACCGGAATATCAGTGGAGCCATGGAAAGGGCTACCCCGATGGATCGGGGCCTCACATGGCCTCACGGACGACTGTACCACTTTTGCTTCCAGCTAGATCTTACACTTACACGTTTGTATACCCAATTTTTTTCGATAGTTCATCCATTTCTGACCAAACTTTCAATTTTTTTTTGACTTTTGATGTTTGGGGCCACTGAAAGACCGGCAGACGGGCAGTAAGTGGTCGAATGGAATTCCACTTGAGGGTGCTGCCATACACATATGGGGTTTCCATAGTCATACCCTTTAATTTAACGCTGGATGGTTGATTTCAGGAAAAATCCATCTATAAATGGATGAACAGGGGTACACCCATTTATGGAAACCCTCATATCCCAACTTTATCCTGGCAATTCCATGGTGATACCCATTATATAAATCCCTTTAATATTCACAACTGCACCCCCAAAAGTATGCACAGCGCTTTGCAAACAATATTACGATTTGTTCTTTTTTTTAATAGCTATGTGAAATCACACCTTTTTTTATAGGTAAATCACATCATCATGATAAAACATCTACAAATGGGCCATTGTCCATAGTCATCTTGAATACCCAGAGGGTATGTGACTCTGTAAATGATCCAGAGGTCTCGATATCCAAACTTAGACCAGCTCACAGCTGGGGTTGTCACAGCTGGTACACCATTTAAACGCGATGTCCATGATGAGTCCCTCGACGAAGTAAACCTGCAGATTTCTGAAAGCTGTGGCTACCTTGGATGCGGCCCAAAGTGGGGATTCTGGTTTGTTCCGGATGTGAAATCTTGAGGCAATGATTGATCTGGGTAAATTTCATCACGACCTCACTGTTCTCCCTCACTGGAATCATGGCTAGGTTGGAAATCATCCCCAAACGGCCCAACAATTCAGGTTAGTGAAATATTATAATTTACCCAGATACTACCTAATACATGAATGGAAATCACCATTGACCAAGCATAATCATTGGGGGATATTGGGGGCATTTCAGATGGTAAAACAGATAATTTACCCAGATTTATGTAATCTTATGACATACCTCAAGCATCCTCAAACATCCTCAAGGAACCACAGACTGACCACCCAACTTCCACTGGTTCATCGCCATTCTCCCTATGACTCACTGGCTTAAGATGAAAATGGGTGAAATCCCCCCCATTTTAAAAGACACACAAAAAACCAGTCATGTTCCTTGGGACTTCACCCCATGAAGTCCCATGAAATATCACACATTAAATATTAAACTAATATTGGATGGGATGTGATATAACTGTTATCTGTTGCTAGTCTCAGATATGAAGTTGGTTATATATACCATACCCTCCAGTAATTTAACAGTTTGCTATTGAAAATTGCCATTTATAGTTGATTTACCCATTAATAATGGTGATTTTCTATAGCTACGTTAGTTTACCAGAGGGTAAATCCCGTTAAGTCCCATTAAGTCCCAAATATCAACCACATCGTCCAGGATCATGGAAAATGTGCAGCGCGACCCCACCACACCCTGGGAAGAAGCCACGGGCGAATGGAGGCGAACGGATACACCATGCTGATGTGTTCAGCCATGTTTTCATAACTGGTTAAACTCATCCTGGAAAAAAGTTGGTATATCCGTGTATATCCCATAAATGATGGATTTTTGCAGGTGGTACCATAACTATCCAGAACTGAGTTTTCATAACATGGTCATTCCCCAAAAAGATGGAACCATCAAAACACCCACGGGGATGTACCGAAGGGCGGATCCCACTAAGTCGTGGCGGTGAGTTCACCATTGAATTTTCCCTCTGCTTACTTCACATAGCCATAGATGGCCCATTTATATAGATGGTTTACCTATTAGAAATTGTGATTCTCCATGGCTATGTTAGTCATAACCAGCTGGTATCATTTGCTTCACATGATTTCACCATACCAGGACTGAAATAGCCCAGGGCCCCCTATGAGTTTTGGTTGTTGGGGTTGGATGGGGTTGGTTTTGTCAACCAAGACTCGCAACCACCAAAAGTTATATCATTTGACATCCTATCCGACCACAGTTAATGATATCGGCTGAAAATAGTCTCCCGAAATGTCATGATCCTCATTTTCCCCACATAAAACAATGGACAGTTGGGCATTTGTATGACCCCATTTTCAGACCAACCCAAGTATAATGTTGTTGCTTATACCCCGTCATATTAAGTTGACCAGATTTTTATTTTTCCTGTTGAATCATCATTTTCCCAATATGTCATAAATGGCCTCGTTTATGGGTATACCATGGTAGAACCTATTTTCAGACAGACTCTTAATTATCATTATTAACCCTTATAAACCCTTTTAAACCCTTATAAACTTATAAACTTATCAACCATTGTAAAGCATTAAACACCTTTAGAAACCACTTTTTCAACAATTCTTATCCATTATGAACCCTTAGTACGGAACCGTTAAATGAGGCTGCGCACCTTTGACGGCGAGTTCTATGGATCTGCCAGCGATGCAGCTTCTAGGCTGTCCATGGGGATATGAATTGGGGTATGATGTAATTGGGATGTAGGAATATTTGGGATAGGTTATAATAAATTAATATAAATTAGATATGGGCTATACTAATGGTTTTTTTGATAGCTTATAATGGGGAATATCATGGGAATATCACCAACAACCATGGGAATAGCCTCTGAGACTCTGGTCATTTGTTCCATAGCGAAGTGGAAAATCATTGGCATCCACTGGCTGCTCCCAGGAATTTAATGATATTTCATGCGTGGTTCATCCCACTGGGATATCCCATCTATAACTGGGGTATTTGATATGGCATGCTATGGTTATATATCCACTTAAGGGAACTGCACTCCAAAGTAGAGAAATGCTTGATGCACATCCAAAGCCGTTTTTTTTTCTGTTTGTTTTTTGTGATGTGTTTCTATCCTGTGCTCCACTTGGAGCGAGACTGGGTGTCCATACTCCATTTGTAGTTTCCCGGTGGAGAGATGCCCCGAAACAGCGATGTGATCCCCATCGATCCGTGGATCATCTCATCTTAACTTCCGACATCGGCTGGGGGCCCCCAAAAATTCTGCTCAGCAAGAAGCTCCCAGGATCAGATTCGCGCTTCAGATGGCTTCAGTGAATTAACCTTTTTTTATTAGTACCACCCAAAAAGCCAAAAAGCTCGAAAAGTAATCAAACGACTGAATTTCAGTAGGAATCTACTTTGATATCTTTGATCTACTTTTTGTTTTTTTGGTGCTGGGATGACTATTATTCGACTTTGAATTTTGTCCAACTGGGCGAAACAAAAACCAAGCTCTGGCAGATCTGATCTTTTGATCCATCCCTCACAGCAAATGGATGATTTGGTGTAGCCTTATCTTAGGACACCTCCATATATGTATACTGTATACTATATTATATATTATATCTAAAATGATCTAAAATGATATCTATGGTCCATGGCTGCTGGCTTTCAACATTACTTTGTTTTTGCTGCCTCAATTGTATGATGTCATGAGATCAAGATGAGCTGAGATTCGAACATGCTTCGTCCACTTTCCCATCCTTGTTGATGCTGACCATGGATTTGACAAACCCTGATGAACTTGGGGGAGTGATAGACATTTTATTCAAATGGACATGCCAAAAAATATGTTGTGTTGCCGCGGAGATATGACTGGACAAAGCTAGCAGCTAGCCGAGTTTCCTTCACATCCACATAGTTTCTCATAGAACTTGCAAGTTCTGGGATGGTCCATGATTTTCTCCCTCAAACCAGATACATCATCGTACATCCATGGTTTTTTGAGGTGTCGTCCGGATCCATCGGGCACCCATTGAAGAAAAATCAGGAACTCAACAGTTCCGGGATGTTCTGGGCAAAGAAACTGAAGAGTTGTTACGAGACGTGACGAAACGGTAGAATCTTCACCTGAGCAATCTTTAAAACCTCTGTTGGTTAGTTCGGAGATTCTACACTACCGTTTAAATACTGATCAAAAACAAATCCAAGAATTCGGAATCCCTACTGTATCTCTTAGCCAGCCAGGATTCAATGGACATTTGGAGGTTTCCAGAAATGGGGGTACCCCTGTTCATCATCCATTTTAGTAGGATTTTCCATGAAATAAACCATCCATTTGGGAGTACAAGGTGGTGCCCACCAGTTATAAGTTGGTTTATAAACCATAGTAAGTAGTTCGACATATCTACCATAAATCATAGTTATTGGAGTTATTTGCAGCAACTTCACCATCTTGTACCCCCAATGACTATGGAAACCCCCATGGATCGGGATTTTGAATGCTCACCTTGCGTGACCGGAGCTCAGGATTTGTTGAAGGGCAAATGGTATCGACTGGGCGCAGGTGATTCACATGTAGAGATTGTCTCATTTGATCCAAAATGATGAATTCAATAGTTCAAACACTAGTTCATAGTAATTCATGGTAAGTTTTGAATTCTTCATTTTGTTGAAATTCATGGTAATTTTCAAAATGTCAACATAATTCTTTATAGATGTTCATTGTAATTGTTCGGGAATGAATTCTGTTGACGAAACTGAAGACACCGACATCGACTCTGATGTCTGAAGGGATCCCAATAGGAGCTCCCAGCTACCGTTGCCAGGTCAAATCGAAAGACCCACCGTCATTGACCTTGAAGCTTAGTTCATAATGGTTAAATGATGGTTAAATAATGATTCATGGTTATATATATATTTATAAATAATGATCCATTAGTAACCATATATGTATATATATATTATATTATATTCATTCATTGATGGTTATGTATATATAATACTATATAATAATCATCTATATGGGTAATCATTGGTAGTCATGGAGTGTACCCGTAAGAATTGATCCTTGAGTCACAACGAGCCCCTGGTGATAATACGCGACATTCACAGAAAATACCAAAAGATAGGTATAAATATAATACATATATACATATATACACATGATACAATATGTAACATGGAATATAATTTCTACATATGACATATATTCAAAAACCATCAATATATATATATATATACATAATATTAATATACAGTGCAATGGCGATATTTCATAGAAGCCGAGCAAATTTTTATAGAGGTACCTTGAAGCAGTACCCTTGGATTGATACTTTGATTAATGTAGGTGGGGGACCAACTCTGGGGACCCTTTAGGAGGGAGTTGTCGCTTGCGGCAGGAGACCCAAAGATGTGGCCCACCTGTGAATGTCCCAGTTTCTTTCCCCTTCCAGGCAGGGCAGTCGGGCCATGTGTTGGATCCCCCAATGAAACGGAGGGTCCCTAGAAATATTGGTGTCATAATGATGAAGGACGATACAGGAATATAGCTATTAATCCAGCCATATATATATATATATGTATACATATATTCAGCTATTTATAAATAAAACCATGAGCCATGATGATAAATGCACATTGTTCTTTGTTCATTCCGCTGCTTGTGCCTGGATAGTCATCAAGGACCTTCTGTGCTCGGCATTCCCCCGACCATACGATATCATGTCTGGCTTCAAAACGCCCCACGAAAACAGGTAATCTTTAGAGTCGGTGATCAACAGATTTTGTAGTCATGAAATCTCATGACATTTGGTGAAGATGTATGTCTTTCACAGATGTTTGGAAACAACAAACTGACAGCTCCAAAGCGAAAAAAACATCTGGTCTTGCCCCGAAGATATTTGCTCTTAAATTTTAATTGCTTGGGGTTCTGCAGAGTTCCTCACGTAACCTTTCTGGAGAAAATTCATCAAAGTACCTCCTTTAGCCAAGTGTCTGGGTGCGTCTGGGTGTAGCATCGGCCATCTTTGATATCTTTGATATCTTTGATATCTTTGATATCTTTGATATCAGTTTCAGAGCAAAGCAACGTCTGTAAATATGCGAAATTTTTACTCCACCGATTCTCCAGCACCAGTTTGCCTTGCAAACATAAAGGGCGAATTTCCGTCGGGCTGCGGGCCCCACGAATCGTAAATGACTCAAAACCCTTCAGTTAGATTTATGGAATTTCTCCATTTATCTCATTTTTATATATTTTTATGATTTTATATGACTATAGGTAATATCTGGGGTTCAACCCCTCGATTTTTTTTCCGGTTGCCACGGCCCCGTCCTGGACGCGTCAGGGGTCACCCCCGGCTTTGAGATCGCCGGCTTGGGCCGTCCGTGGCCGAGCCATGTCCAGAAACTCAGCTGTGAAGGCGCGGAAATGGAGCGGCGTTCGGCGAAAAAAATGGCTAAGAAGATGAAATGTGGATATGTATCCACTTACAAACCATATCTATATATATAATATATAACCAATTATAACCATATATGCATGTAATGTATATATATATAGATAGGTAGGTAGGTAGGTAGACAGACAGACAGACAGACAGATAGATAGATAGATAGATAGCTATAAACCCATTCATCATCTCATGTAAATATGGATGGTTGCCATAAATGGTGGTACCCCAAATATGGATAAATATGGATGGTTTATTTCATGGAAAATCCGAAAATAAGATCGATGATTTGGGGGCAGCCCTAACGCATATCAACACGATCATAGGGACGACTTTGTTTTCAGTTTGCGTTTGAATTTCGTTGACCTGGTACAAGGTGTGGCACCCTTTTACGATAGCTGAGTTAGTTGATTTACTAGCTGAATTCTATGGCACTATGGGTCTTCTATATCGATCTAGCCACCAAACATAACTATCATAACTGGGGGCACCGGCAAGGACTCTTTTCAGGTCATCCATACAAAGAATTTTAGGGCAAACATATATATATATATAACATATATATATATATAATGTGGGTACACCAATTTTATTCACACGATAAATTTAGGTGGTTTATTTTTACCATTGCCATTTTTGGGTGCCAAATATGACATTGTTTTACTCAGATGTTGACCTGGTTTTTTCAACATCCCAGGGATCCCAGGGATGGCGAAGGTCACGACTGGTGGATGATTGGAAGCTACACGCTTCCCAACAGGACACGCCGCGGTCGAATGATGACCTGGGTATAGCTAATACAGGATGGGGCCCCAAGTCGATAGCTAAGTTGAGATTATAAGTGGCTTAACTGTGGTTTATAAACCAGATGAAACCAGATAACCTACAGGATGGGGCCCCAAGTCGAGCTCGCGAGCTAAGTTGAGATATGGCTGCGAAAAAACTATGGTTTATAGTTAACGAACTGGTTTTCACGGAGTTTATAAACCAACTTATAACTGGGGGGGCCCATCCTATAACGACCCCACTGTTCTCCCGAACCCTGGAATCATAGTTAATACGGGAAAGCGTTCCCAAATGGCCCAACATTTCATGTTAGTGATAGGATAATTTACCCAGAATGACGGGAATGATGGGAATTGCGGGCAACTGGGCCCCAAAATTGCCGACCTTTTTCAGGTGACTAATGTTGGGGGACTTTGAATGTGGAAATTCCTAGGTCATGCAAGCCAAGTCGAAGTTGTCCATCCTTCATCCTCCCCTTTTTTTGATGGCTCCTGGAAGTTTGCCAACCTTTGGGGAACAAAGCTGGTTGCAATGGCGCCGGGTCAGGGATGACCGTTGATGACCACTCCAATGGGCCAGTTTAAGTGATGTTTTCAACATAGATTGACACAATTCTGTCAAAAAAAACTTGGACTCCGGCTGGTAAATCATGATGATGATGGTTGAGTTAAACTAGCAACTGAGATCAGCCACGGCCAACGATTGCCTTCTTGATCGCCAAGCGTCTTTTTTTCAAAACATCTTCAGCTTACCCCAGCCTTTTCCCAGCTTACCCCATTTTTGTATCCCAGTTGGTTTTTCACAAAATATGCGGACGGGTCAAGTTACCTATGAAATTACCACATAAATGGGGGATATATTCACATCCAGCTATTCCAGGTATCTATTTGTTCGGGATTTCTACAGTACCATTTGAGTACATTAGGGTACCATGCCCCATAACCATGTCAACGGGAATTAATAGCACCATTGATTGTTCCACTGTAGTCACTATGGTTACCCTCTGGTAATTTAACATAGCTATTGAAAATGGTGATTTATAGTGGATTTACCCATTAAAAATAGTGATTTTCCATAGCTATGTTAGTTTACCAGAGGGTATATATCCCATTCATTATCAATCCATTATCATGTTATAACTCCCATGAATATCCCATTAAATCCCATTGAATCCCATGAAATTCCCATTAAAAAATCCCGCTCACCAGCTATTTTAGGCTACCATTTGGGGACCAAAAAACTCAATTCGCAGGTCGGCCCCGGGCAATTTCAGCCCCACCGTGGGCTGGGAAGATCTCTTTAAGCCCCAGCTGATTGATGCGGGGGCCTTCTATGCCTCCAAGGAGCAAGATCCATCGCATGGAAATGCCACAGATGGGTTTGTGAACGATTCTGTACTTGGTTAGATATGGTTAAATGGTGCTTTAATGGAATATTAGACTTAAAACCTCACAAAGCCTTAGTTGGTGGCTCATCCCACGGATCGTAAGTAGGTTAGTTCACCTGAGTTTTTTCAGTGGAAATCCAGCCGACTTATCCCACCAACATCACCAGGGTGAACTAATCTACTTACGATCTGTGGGATGATCCACCAAGTAAGATGATTTCACCCTGGAATTTATGAATTCCTCCAGGCACTGCCAGGCGTACGCTTGAAGGGTGGATTCAGTGGATTCGATGTGTTGTTCCACGTAACACAACTGAGATATTTTGGGGATATTCGGGGATAAATAAATCGTGATAACTCCAATGCCATAAACAACATGAATTTTGGGGTTGATTTCAATCTCGCTCATTTTGATGCTGGGGACGGTGACATATGGCATTTCTTCCAGGAAAAAAAGCTCTTGGCCACTGAGAAATCCAATGAACCAGATGGTCCTTTGTCGAAAGCGTCAACTGCATCCACCAAAAACCATGGGAAAAACGACGGGAAAATGAAGCATGTCAACTTCCTGGTGCAGAGACAGATTCTTTTTTTGTGTGACTCCAACTTCCATAATTATCGTACATGTGTATATACGTATATATATATATATACATGTACAAGTATATAAATATATATATATATATACATATATATATATACATATATACATATAAATATACATATATATATAAATACACACATATATATATGATATCATATAATTACATGTATATATTTTCCATGAATGGCACTTGGGAATGTTTCCCAACAGTCCCAAGCACTGGGATGGCGCAGGATGCGCTCTACCCCAGCAAGCAGGGCCTCGAGCGACGAATCAATTGGGGCTGGGCACAAGTCAGACCCAATAGCACCCAGAGCCTTCCTCGTGTGACGCTTGATTGGAAGTTGGGAGGCAGCCACCCACATGAATTTAAAATTGGAAAGGTGAGGCTGTGAGGCCCCCGAGTTAAAGGTTGCTTTACAAACCCCTTAACTATAGTTATATCATGCTATATCTTCCATAAACCCAAACGAATGCACCAAGTTATGTGCGTCAACGTGTCGCGATTTCGTTTGGGCCCCACCTTGTCTGTATTAAACACGGGGGATACTGTACCTGGTATCACCATTCCTGGCTAAGTTCTTTGGGAAGACGATGATCAACATGCAGCAACAGCAACAGCAACAATATTAACTACAGGTACCAGCTGCATATGATATTATATAGTAATATATATATATAATATTTACACACAATTATGTATACAATATCATGCATGTATAGTCTACATGGCCGGGAAATGCATCTCCCCAAAGCCACCAGATAAATATGGCTTGCACATTCGATTGCAGTGCATTACATTGTATTGTAATGCATAAATTATATATGTACTATTGTACGCATATAAATCAAACATATACAGTATACATGTATATATACATACATACATACATACATACATACATACACATGTAGAAATACAGAATACATATAGAATTTCATTTGACTCACTATTCAGCTAGAAGCCTGGCCCGGAGAAACGTAGAAATCCAAGTGACTTGCTTCAGATCCATCGATCCACATCATGCCAGGCCATCCGCATAGGTCAGAGCATGGAAGATTGTCAAATGAGGGTTTCCATAAATGGGGGCACCCCAATAGCTGGATGATTTATATGGGAAAATCCCAATCTAAAATGGATGATGAACGGGTACCCCCATTTATGGAAACCCTCATTGAAGTAGTGAGATGAACATCCATATTTAGCAATTTTAACGGGGTTTGGTAAATGTTTGTTTTTGGCGTTTTCTTAACATCACCAAACCAAGTATCTGTTGGAGATGAAATATCTCTATTATATCCCCATTTGGGTGATGCGATTTTTTTTTTGGACATTTACCAGCCCCTGTCTTTTTAACCATCATTAACCATCATTTGGGTTTGTCTGAAAATAGGGTATATTCCCAATGAAATAGCCATAAAAAATAGGGATAATGATCAGCAAAACCATTGGGTTTAGGGGTACACTATTTCTTTTTAACCATCATTAATCATCATTTATTAACCATCATTAACCACCATTAACCACGTCTGTTTTTCAACCCTCCGGTGGAACCATCAGCTCCGCTGGATTTTTCCTGACACCAGTTGGATGTGCAACTTGGATAAGGGGCCCGATCCATTTGCCGAGGCCATGGACTGTGTACGTCTATAGATGGCCCATTGAAATAGATGATTTTCCCAGCTAGAAAGCTCCATTTATGAGGGATTTTCCATGGCTATGTTAAATAAGCAGATGGTATATATATATATATAAAATATATACAAATACATATATACATAGATTGCATTGTGATGCGTTGCTTTGCATTGCCTTGGCTTTGGGTTACCTTACACATTATATATATATATACACATACACACATGTACATATGTTATATATGTATGGAGAGAGCATGACATTTGCCACAGATCTCACAGCATGTCACCACCTCACATTCTCTCCCGCTCCAAGGATCACCTTCAATCCTCGGGCACGTTTGCTAGAGCAAGCTCCACTACCTGAGCTCGAACAACTCAGAGGAGCGATGCTGTTTTGACAGCGACAATGTTGGTGAGTTGTATCTGATTTTCATGTATATTGATATGTACATATATACATATATATAAATGTCCCATCAATATCTAGTACATATCCCATATCTCACTACCAACCCTAGGCTTTGCCCTGCAAGATCACAATGTTTCATGGCGGATCTTCAATGGTCGACCATGAGGAGGGTAGGAGTCAGAAGCCTGATGCTATTCTGTTCACACCGAAAAAAATGGATCAGTTTTTTTGATGGTCATTCTGTTCATCCCTAAAATAGAAGACCACATTGATTCGGTGTTGATCCATATCAGATTCTCCACATTTTCCGGAGAGGTTTCCACGGTTTCCACGTTTTCGCGTTGTTGTTGTTGTTGTTGCTGTTGTTGTTGTTGGCAGGAAGCAAGCTAGTGCAGCAAAGCGCCGAGGTGGCTAGCTCAATGGCGCAGACAATTGATAGGGAAGTGGATAGGGAAATGATGGGGGAAATATTGATATGAATAAGTTTTCCCTATAACCTACAATAGTATATACAACATATTATTGCACATTACTACTATTTATATATATATATGTATTATTATTATTATGTTGATACACGGAAAATCCCTAGTATATGGAATATGTATATATATATATGTTTAAACTATGTTCCGTATCACATATGTTACATTAACTAGCTTCAATTTTTTGGTGAAGCTAAGGGTAATTATTCCCATGTTCCCAACAATACTGGAATGAAGGGGAGCATTTAGAGTTTCCTAACCACTTGCTAGTTTTTTTTAGTTTAATATTTGATAGTATCATCATCATCATCAGCATCATCAATGAATAGTATAATATACCAGCAAGTATAATTAATATGGCATTCATAGCATTGATAGTCATTGATAGTCATTGATTAATGTATAATATACATATTTATATATATATGTTTAAACTATGTTCCGTATCACATATGTATATTATAGAGTTTCCTAAGCACTTACTAGTATATCATATTTGATATATGTATATATTATCAATGACTGGATCATGATTTTCCCAGTTTCGAAAAAATCCTGCAGTGACCAAAGACAAAGACGTCCATGTTTTTGCGTGCGGAAGCGTCACTGATTGGGTTTCTTTGAAACCGTCTTTGCGTTTCCCCCAAAATTAGCAACCTTCCTTTTAGGGACAGTGATAAGCAACATCACCATGAATAGTGGATGGAATGGGGTGTTCCATGGTTTTCCCTACATTTCCCGAAATTCTGCCACATTTTCCCACCATCTTTCCCAATCAGATCACTGCAAGGTGAGTGCCTCTGCTCCCTTGCTGGCGAGGCCAGGGGTCAGAACTCTAGGCTACCAACCATCAACATCCATGACTACCCTCTGGTAAACTAACATAGCTATGGAAAATGGCCATTTATAGTTGATTTTCCCATTAAAAATGGTGATTTTCCATAGTTATTTTAGTTTACCAGAGGGTGTATATATATATATATGTATATATATATATACATATCTAAGACATTCTAAGACCCTGACGGAAGCCAAAGATTGCTAGGGGGTGTAACACCGAACTTAAAAAGGGACAGACCTTTTTGGGTTTTTCATTCCATGATTTTTTCACCATCTTCCCTCTGGTAATTTGGCCCATTTAGTTCGATGATTTGCCCATGAAAAATGCTGGCTTTTAATACCTCTCTGACCTATTACCAAGGGGCAACAGGTCCGGTAACAGGTCCGGTCAGGTGCGAAAAGCGCCACGGGCGCCACATGTTTGATCCACGTTTGGCATTTCAACAAGAGTGAAACCATGCACTCCTAAAAAGGACAATCATTTTCCGGGATGAACCCTCCTTCCGTTCAGGCAAGAAAGGCAGTCAGGTGGTTTGCCTGTCCCCTTGGGTGGTCAGGGTCAACTATCAATACCTCCTTTGTTTTGTTTGATTTTATTCATGTCATGTGTAACATTGTTTATGCATGTATTTCCAAGCACTTGATTATCTTCATTGGGAAGGAGATATCGAGGTTCCAATGTTGTGAAACATGATGACCCAACATGGTGGCTTCATCGATGAAATCGCGGTACCCCTTAACAGCTTGCTGTATTCCATGTGTTTTTGATATGTTTGTCGCATATATATATATGTTCAAAGTTCAACAGCCTTTTTCAAAAAGGACATGCAGACTAGTTTCGTGCATTTTCCCAATGGAAAATCCGCTTACTTCGGGAATATCGTTTTTTTTTTTTCTCTGGGGGGTTAGAAGCAACTCCAACAGTTCAAGCACCAGTCGCTGAGTCGTCCCAGGCTGCCGTTCCGCAGTGCTCTTCGAAGCGAGACCATCGTGCGCTTCACCTTGCCCCAAAGCAATGCCATCCTTCGAGTAGGCACTGGGAGCTGGGAGCGTCGCAACATGTATGCATAGTTGGATTCTACATTTAATGATTCATTATATATATATACTGTATGTATATATATATATAGAGATACACATATGTACATGGAATAAACTCATCTATATCTATATCATTCTATATCTATATCTATAGTTTGTTATATATGCATTATAGATATTGATGAATTCAACATTAGGAATGAATAATTTGTTTGTTGTTGGTTGTATAATTTGGTACGTTTTCACAAAAAATGCTTGGGTAGAGATGGACACGATTTGTTAGTGATATGCCTTCAATTGGTTTCATTGTCAGACATTCACATCGCTGGTTTATGTCAGGCTATGCGCTCAATCTTGGCGCCCTAAATTGTTGGGGTCTTGCTGTATGGTTAGTGCATGACCACTCCACAACTGATATTTGCTTGGCTTTCCGGATGGGTGTTCTCACAGATCCGGAAATTCCGAGCATGCTTCCTAGCCTCTTGCTTTTCCAAGGCCGCTGGGAATCTATGGAAGTTTCAGAAAATTCCCTTAATATCTGAAAATTCCCTGTATTTCTTTTCAGCCTAGCTGAAAACTGAAACAAAAACATGTGCGAAACTCGAGTGGAACGTCCCGTTGTGGAACGTCCAGTGGAACGCACCAGCTGTGGTTTTTGGACCATCCAGTGGAATCCCATCCGAAGAAAAACACAGCCAGTTGGATGTCCGTAGATGTAGATGAAGAAGTCATAAAGAAGTCATGATCTTCTGGAGAATTCCTACTGTTTCACCAGTAGGATTATAGACTTGAAGTAACAGTTGAATTGCCAGTTTTTCAAGTCAATGAATCAGCACTCTATAGGAAACACATGTGAAGCATCAATCAACGTCCCAATGGGATCTGCTGTTTCAATATGTTTTGAACATCTCAACAGCTGGTTGGTCTTTTTTTGAACATTCGCCAGGGCACCAGCAGGCTTCAAAAACATCTCAACAGACCATCCGAATGTGACATTTTGATTAAACAGCATGTGAGCTATGGTCAATACTCATGGTTAATAACCATTAATAGGGGCTAGTCATCCAATGGTTCATAGGGATTTATAATAACCATTATAAGGATCCTTATTATGGATGGGATGACCATCAACCATATAGTGAGTATTGACCATGGCTCATGTGAACCTGAACATGAACATCCATATCTTTCTCAAAACCAAGTTCAGAAGAAAAAAAGGCAAGTTCCTTGCAGGATCTTGCCGCACATGCTGCTTGGCTAAAGCAATAGAAAAATATGCACAATTTGACCATAAATATCCATAAATGGATGGTATAAACATGTGTATACCATGAAAATCTGAGTGGTTTATGACATTGCTTCGCTAACATTACCCTCTGGTAATTTCATCGCTATTGAACATGAACCATTCATAGTTGATTTACCCATTGAAGATGGTGATTTTCCATGGCTATTTGTATGTTTACCAGATCACAGAAATTGGATGATGGGAAACTTTACAGGAACCCACCCTATATTTGATGGTGAAAAGCCATGGTTTCTGGTGAAGATTTTCCCAAACGAAAAGCACTCCGCAGGCTTTTCGCCATCGCCACATTTTGCGTGGATGGAATCCATGGGTTTCTCAGGTCCCGATGTCACCGTGACGACCTTTGGCGTTGGTTTCAGTAATTTTCAGTATGGTTTCAGCACTTTTTTGGTGGATTTTGCTGGTATTTCCCCAAGAAACAGTTTTGGAGATTGATTCATATTGATGGATACAGTATATAGCCTCAATTAGCCTCATGGCTGGAATGGTTGAACACTGATTTCGAAAACTCAGCAATTTTGAATAGGTCGTCCTCATGGTAAATCATCGAAAATCATCGAAAATCATCGAAAATCATCGCGCCTCAACCAGAAACCGGGGGAGCTCGGGGGTAAACCGGATCAGGAAAGTGCCGGAAAGTTCGAAGGTCTACGGTGCACAGTACTTGTGTCAAAGCTCCTGCGAAGAGGACGGCCAACACATATATATATATGTATATATGTATATTATGCATGAATCAATGACTATCAATGACTATCAATGCTATGAATGCCATATTAATTATACTTGCTGGTATATTATACTATTCATTGATGATGCTGATGATGATGATGATGAGGTTGATGTTCATGATCCCTTTGAATTATGATATCCCCAATATATTTTCATAGTAAGCCAATATTTCTTTTCCCATACTTTAACCAATTTTTCATATTCCCTATGATATCGCCCTGATTTTCCCAATAATAGACCACTATAGACCACTATTTCATGGGTGTTTCCATGTGTTTCCCTTTTGTCATGGGGGTACCCCCAAATCATCATCCATATTTTAGGAAACCATCCATGACCAACCATCTTTGGGGTACTCCCGTTTCTTGTGGCTTCACCGATGACGCTACGCCATGGCAATGGCAACGGTGACGTCAGGACAGTGGTTGCCTCGCCTGGTCCTTTGAGCCTCGGTAGCAGATGGTGACGATATGCATACATGTATATATACGTATATATATATATGTAGATAGATAGATAGATAGATAGATAGATAGATAGATCGATTAGATCGATAGATCGATAGATCGATAGATCGATAGATCGATAGATCGATAGATCGATAGATCGATAGATCGATAGATCGATAGATCGATAGATCCATAGATCCATAGATCCATAGATCCATAGATCGATAGATCGATAGATCGATAGATCGATAGATCGATAGATCGATAGCTATAGATATAGATAATTAGATAATCATATATGTTTTTTGTTCATTTTTACATGTATAATATATATCTATATATAGATATGCATCAGTAAATGTATATAATTTCATATATATATATAATATCCATACATATGTGTAATACTGTGGATGGAAAACAACATGAAACACTATAAATAATGGGATTATAGTTTGAAAAAACATCTACAAGCTGGTGCAGGATTTCTTCCATCCACGGATATATAAAAAGTATGTATAACCATCCGCAAAACGATACCAAAAAGTGTTTCCAGGTTATAGATGACATTGAATACATATTTCCAGGTTTCTCACTTTTCTATGTTTTTGGGGTTGCTATATGTATGTATGTATATATTCTTATAGAAGGAGCAAACATATGTATATATATATAAATACATGTACATACATGTATATACATTTGATATCATGTGATACTAAGCATATACTGACAAGGATGGAGATTTTGTACAATCTGCCACGAAAATGAGAGTCTCACTCACCGCGTATTGTGCCTGCCACGGAAAAGCCAAAAAGGGAACACAACCCATGACAAGGCATGTGATGCATGGCAAATCAAAAGAGCCTAAGTAAGGATCCGTGAGCATTGGCTACAGAATCTATTGCCAGGAATATCCGTATTGCATTTATGTCAACCCTGGATTAATAAACCCCAAGGCTGTTTAATTGGGAGGGTACCTTTTACGTATCAGATAATGACTATTGGAGGAGTCCCCCCCTGATTAATAAACCATGGTTTATTCATCCGGGGTTGACATTATTTTTCTCTGAACCACCCACTCCACACCCCTTGGTGTTTCAGATGCCCAAGCCACGGTGGTGAAGGTGATGAATGTTAGCCTCTGGTAATCTAACATAGCCAACATAGCTATGGAAAAACGGCCTGTGAATTTTGATGATTTGTAGAAAATGGTGACACGAAATTCCATCGCAAAGTCTGTTATTACCTTTATTGAGGGTATCTTCCAATTTTAACTCAAATTAGCATCAGGGATTCCCATGTTGTTCCCATAGTTTTTCCAATATTTGTCCTTGAAAATGACCATCTGATCCAGTGACATCCCAGTGACTTCCATGAAAGGTTCATCAAAGCGCTACTTGCCATCACAAAGCTGCCGTGGAAGAGGTGACCGTAGCACCTGAGACAGCCGGGTCAGGTAGGTTGGTCAGGGCAGTGCAGTGAGGAAAGAAATGCTGGAAACACATGATGGAAAATGACGGAACATATGTGGAAAATGCTGGAAAAAAGTATTGGGGAACACATTCTGTTAAGGGAACATAAATCCCAAAGCAACAAAAATATGACAAAAATTGGAATGAGAAACATCTCAGCAATTCTGTTTACCCCCCGCAATCAAGAACTGAATGAGTGATTTTCCATTGCCACGTTTGATTCCCAGAGGCTTTGTTAAAGCTAAAATAAAAGTAGGCAGTACCTAAATATGTGCTCTAGATAGAAGGGGAGTACCTAAATAAATCCATGTGTATATATATATAGTGGATTATTTAAGGGAACATTTGGGTTTACCAGTCGTACCCGAAGCTGCCTTAGGGTTAGACTATAAGATCTTTTTCATCTATAGAACTTGCATGCGCCGTGCGCCAGCCAGGCCCGTGTGTGCGTCTTTGTGCGACAGTGATGCACTGTTCCAAAGGTCGCACTTGAAACTCCACACTTCACACTGCACTCTTCACACTTCACACTTTGCACTTACACTTCACACCCCACACTTCATCTCATCTCATCTCATCTGAGCTCTTCTCACCTCATCTCATCTCTTCTCATATGTCATCCAAGTTCTTCTCAAGTATTTTTCATTTCATCTGAGCACTGCTCAACCTTTCTCATCTCTCCGAAGCTCTTCTCAACTCATCTCAGCTCTTCTGCACGTTGACTGTCAGATAGAATTCTCTTGCACCCAAATCCCGTTGCGCGCAGAAAGTTTTTGCACACAGAAGCTTGGGACACAGATGCGTTTACACAGAAAAGCACTTACACACAGAAAGCTTCTGCACATGGGAAGCACGCAGCAAGCCTTTGCACAGAAAAGCTTTTACACAGAGAAGCGTCTTTGCGCAGAGAAGCTTTTACACAGAGAAGCCTTTAGAGACAGATGTGTTTACGCACGGAAGCTTTTACAGAGAGAAGCGTTTACACACAGAAGCTTACTCACAGAACCTTTTACGTACTAGTCTGCGCAAAACATATCCCAGTACTACTTTGTACTACAAAGCTTGCAAAAAGGAATTCCCACTACTACTTTGTACCACAAAACTTCGACAAAGCACTTCCTGGTACTACTTTGTACCACAAAACTTCGACAAAGCACTTCCTGGTACTACTTTGTACTTCAGAGCTTGCACAAAGCACTTCCCGGTACTACTTTGTACTACAAAGCTTGCACAAAATACTTCCCCGTACTGCTTTGTACTACAAATCATCTTCTAAGGCAGCCTTTTTTGGATTTAATTCTATGCTAGTTAAGGGCTGATGAGGCTGTAGAATCAACTAGAAGTATGCCTCATTGGCTTAATACATAGTATCTTTACACATGAATATATGCCATATTTGTGCTTGTCTTATTTTTCTGTAATGGTAAGTTGAAAGTTATATGAAGTTATATGTTATCCTTATTTGTTTTCATAAACATGCTATATAGCTATATAGTTCCTATATATATATATTCAATCATTTTCCATGTTTTAAAAATCGCCGTTCAACGAACTTAGTAACTTCCAACCGGTGAAATCCAACCGAGGCGCAGCAGAGCGTTTCAGGCAGCCGACAACCGGGAGATGGCGTTTGGGTGTTAGTGGTGTCACATCGTAGTGGTAGAACTTCCTGTGTTTCTCTATATTTATATATTACTATATATTGTATATCTATGTGGATATTTTACGTGTGTATCTATACATTTATATTCAAAAGTATTTATCTAAGTGTATGTATACGATATACTTACATAGTGGGTGATTCGTTTGTATACGTTTTATTACATTGTACGTCCGCAGTATACATGTAGATACAGAAATTTCTTTAATTACATCTACGTAAGCTGTTGTACATGACCGTAGGATGGGTCAAACCTGCGCAGAAGTACTGGCGGGGTTGGCTTCCCCAGTACGAAGCATTCGTCCCATGAACCCGTTGGTGAAAAAAACTGGCCGGAGGAGTGAAGCAAAGCCTTCCACCCTTGTCTTGTGCTGCAACTTGGTCAAACACAACTTTGGTATACAATGATATATGTATATATGCATGATAATATCATGTATTAACCATCAAATAATACATATGTATATATATATATTATGTATGCTGATAACTCACACGCACACATATATGTATATAATATACACATACACAGTAAATGCCAAAGCTCACTTCTTAGTATTTCGCCATTTTGAGCCACCATGGCCCCCAGAGTTTGAAATGCCACCAATTTTTCCCACTTAGTGCTTAGCAACCACAGTTATAGCCCATGTGTATATATATATATAGGATAATCATAGTTATAGCCCACTTATATGTGGAATAACCCGCTGATGGGACTTACATTCACCAGGGATCACCAGGGGCAAGGACCACTTACTAAGTGGGATTCTCGTAAATTCCGGTGATTTGGAATATGTGGTGAAAAGTCAATACTCCGAAACTGGGTGTGTGATGGTAGATGAGCATCCTTACAATTATTTGTGGTTTATTGTGATCATTCTTGGTGTATTTGTGCCTTTGAACACTCGGGTTTCTACGTGCCAACCCCCAAATCAGGCGAAGATTCCGCAGTTTTCCGTCCTGAAATCGTTTGGCATGAGGGTATGGATATATATATATATTAGTTGCACTGTAAGTCATGATGATGGTGACAGACTTTGCTGACGAGTTGCTGTGGGCAGCTCCCTAGGATCTGTTCCCGAAAACGGTGTACCTGGGACCCGAAAAAAGGCACCGACTTGGGAATCGATTTCTGGAATGCTTCGCTTCTGATATTGAAGTTTAGAGCATGTTAGAACCGTTAAAACCTCAAAACGTTGCTGATTTTCATATGTTTCCATCATCATCATCATCATCACCACCACCATCATCATCATCATCATCATCATCATCTACATTGTCATACATTATCCTCCCACTCTCCAATAATGTGTTTCAATGATCCAAACTTCTCCATTTCTTTCGCAGCTGCAGCCCGAACTGCGCATTGTTCATGAGGTGTTCTACGAAGCCGTCGAATCCAAAAGAGACATGGAGGCGATCTGCGGAGATATCAAGGTGGGCCGCCCTACGTTGAAGTGCCATGGGTATTTTTCTAGGGGTTCGTATGTAGAAATGCCAACAATATATATGGAAACATGCCATAGACATACCCCATGGTATTTTTCCATGTTTTTTTAAGATCCATAACCAAGAATGGTGTTGTTTCCATGGACAAAACGACTTGTACTGAAGAATTGGTTTAACGATCGGCTGGAAAGGAATACAGAAGTTACAGAACTTCGCTTTCGGTGATCCTTGGGTGAACTGGGTAGGGAACTGGTGTTTTTCCAACAGTAAGTGGTGTATTTTCAGACAGTGGTGTTTTTCCAGCTTGCACCGGTGTTTTTTGCGACGGTGGTGTTTTTTGCAACAGTTTTCCAATGTTTTCTGCAACGGTCCCCGGTGTTTTCCCTTTTTTTGTAACAGTTCTGGCTGGTGTTTTTTGCAACGATTGACCAGTGATTTTTGCAACATTTGGCTGGTAACAGTGGTGGTAGTATATAATTATAGGTAGTACGTAGTAGGTCGTAGGTCCTATGTCGTAGGTGGCAGGGTATACCTACTCAATAGGTACAGAAACCACTTGGGTTTGTCTGAAAATGAGGCCGCTAGCTCCGATGGTTTACCATAATTTTCTATTACTTGATGGCCGTTTGGGTGGCCAAATCCAGCATTTTCCGACAGCCATATATTAAATTATCTAATGCAATCTCATGATATAATCTCAAGTAGTAGGTGATATCAAATTATACCCATAGATTGATTGGTTTTCTATCACCATTATCACCTTCTTCACGTGCTTCAGGCTCCATTGCGTCTGTTGGCCGGTGAGAAGAGCCTGGAACTTCGCATCTTTGCGGATGCCACATTTCTAGAAGTTCCACGGCCCAAGGCTTGATCGACAACGGAACGGAATGGAGCTGTTCTTGACATGGGATTGGGTCAATTGGAATTCCAGGATCCTAAAATGGAGGTACTGTACCATATAAGGCCATATTTTGTGGGGATATTCCCTTACATAGGCCTTCCACAGGCCTTATATATGGTAGGTACCTCCAATCTAGGATCCTGAAATGGCCATTGATTGGATGGTTTTAAAGGGATTTGGTATGATGGAGCTGAAGAACCATGGGATGGACCTGATGGATGTTTGATGATTTTTTTTTCGGTTTTCCTGGTGATTTTCATGGGATTTACCAAAGAATGGGGATATTCATGGGAATTACACTCTGGTGTCACCGAAGATGGCAATTGAACATGTTCCATTTAGTTTGGTGCTTTTATCAGCTACAAACCTTCATGTATACGGGATGTTCAACTACTGCAGGGTATTGGAATATTTCAAAGTTGTCGCCAACTTTTCTGAAACATTGACCCACATTTAGATCGGGCAAACCATCTTTGATTCACACTTGGATACCGGCAATGTGGACGCATACATCCTAGTATATACATTATATATATATTATATACATACATGTAGGACGTGCAACCATATGATAATGATGTGTACAACATATATATTATATATATATATACACGTATATACTCATAGAATCATGTATATATATATATACATACATATATAATGTAATATATCTATCATTGCATATTTATATATATATATACAGGCTAGCTACTAACAGGTCCATATGACATAAGGCCTGACCACCTCCAATCTTACTACTTGTGGTATTTTTTCACTAATCCCGTTGATTCGTTGATTTATGTGATGCTTTCCCGTGATATATATATATATATGCACACATTGGTCATATGTTGCTAATTTATGCCGTAATTTATGGTGAAATTTGAGGCTCTAACCTTCTGCATCTCATCCCAGCTGACGAATGATTGATGGATATTTTCCAGCATTGGATCCAGACTTTGCAGGAAACCCTTTTCTTTCGTATCAACAACCATGGTTTGGTCCCTTAAAATATCAAAAAACGATCCATTGAAGACTGATTGATGGACAAGTGATTGATTGTGTTTTAGCCATCAACAACCACCTTTTCACAATATTCACCATCTATTATTGGGGGTGTCACCGTGTCAAGCCTAGGGTTAAACGGTTAAACCCCTGTGATACCAACCTCAACTAAGCCATAATTTGCGGGATACCAATAAAACCAATTATTGAATCCATAATTGAGCTATTACTAGCTCATAATTCACAGACTCAATTTATCATATTCAGCCCATAATCCACCCAGCAAAAATCACCCATACATGGGGGTTTCTTAAAATGGGGGATCCCAAGTTTCAATACTAAAATTGCCTAATGACTCCGATGGGTGGGGTACCCCACTTTGGAAACCTCCATCTAGTTGGATATAAACCATGACTATTAACTATCAACTATGAAAACTATGAACCACGAACTATGAACTACAAACTATGAACTATTAACTAGTAACTATTATATACTGGTTGGTGGTTTGGAACATGAATTGAATTTTCCCATTCGGTTGGGAATTTCATAATCCCAACTGACGAACTAAGTCCATCATTTTTCAGAGGGGTAGCGAAATTCCACCAACCATTATTTATTATTAACCATCATTAACCATTATGGATCATATGGCTATATCAACCATGAAAGCCATGGATTAAGCCATGACTGTCATGGGAC